CTTACTTCTACCAATTTGCTAACATTTGGATTATTTCTGTCCCTCCACCCCCAGAAAATCACTAAATCTGTTGCAGATTTTTTTGTATCCCCCAGAATTCATATGCTGAACCCCCAGTGTGATGGTACTTAGAGAGGTACTTGGAGGAGAGGCAATGAGGTTTAATGGGGGTCATTATCTTGGGGCCCCCATGATGAGATTAGGGCCCTTAGAAGAAGAGGAAGACACCTGAGTGTTCTCCGTGCTGTGTGAGGACACAGAAGTTGGCTAGGTGGGATGTAGGTTCTCATCCAGAACCGAATCTGCTGGTACCTTGATCTTGGACTCCTCAAACTTCAGAACTGGCAGAAATAAATGTCTGTTGTTTAATGATTTTTTTTTTTTTGCCACTCCACTGGGCATTTGGGGTTTTAGTTCCCTGACTAGGGATCGAACCTGTACTGCCTGTGGTGGAAACAGGGATTCTTAGCCAATGGACTGCCAGTGAAGTCCAATCTATAGTAGTACTATTAGTACTATAGACTAGCAGCCAATCTATAGTGGTACTCTTTGTGCTATAGGAGCCTGAGAGGACCAAAGGACAAGACTCAAAGTGGTATGAACAACTGCCAGATACCTGTTTGGCCGTCCACTAAACGGACTTCTGTTAGGAGAACAGAAAGTAGGGCTACATTGACATCACTAAGCTCAGGATACAAAAAAGAAAAAAAGAAAAGAAAATACAATAAAGAAAAAAAATTAACGAAGGTCAGGGCAGATGATGGGGGATGGGATTTACCTTCGTGGTCATTCTGAGAAGGCTAGGGGGTCTGCAGCTCCCTGGGGGACAGACCTGTGGTGACAAGACTGGTATCAAGATGGGCCTAAGAGCAAGATAATGTCAGAAAGGCGAACAGGGGCCCAGTCGCATGGTGAGGGCAGACAGAGGAGGCTGTGCAGCTCAATCAAATCAGCACCGTGGATTGCCCGAAACACCAAGCCCTTTCCTGAGAAATTCCCCATCAGGTTCCTCTCTCCCAGCACTGGATGTTGGAAAGTCCCAAACCTACAGAGAAGAATAATACAATGAACCCTCCTATACCCTTTCACTTAGATTCACCAATTGTTAACATTTTTCCATCTCTGTACTCTCTCTCCATACACATCCATGACATGTGTGTAACTATCTGAATCATGACATGTTATCCCTAGATGTTTCAGCGTGCATCTTCCAAAGAACAAGGACATGTTTCTATATAATCACAATGCCGGCATCACCCTCAAGAAAGTGAGCATTGATACAATAAAATGATCTAATAAATCATTCATTTGAAACATGATCCAGTTATCTGTAAAATATTCTTTATAGCTTCCCACCCCATCCAGAATCCAATCAAGGACCAGGTATTTCATTTGTCTTTCCTGTCTCTTTAGTCTCCTTCAATCTCTAAGCGTCTCCCTGCCTGCTGCATTGGCCAGCAGCCTTAGAGGAAGTCCCTTCTCCATTTCTGAGCAGACTGAGGGCCTAAGCACCAGGATGTCTGAGTGCTGGCTCAGACAGAGCGATTCGACTGCACCTCTACTGAGCGACATTGCTCCTCTGTCAGTGACCACTGTTTGGCATCCTATGATGCAGCCCTGCTGGAACCCACGCCTCCATTAGGTGAGAGGTCTGCAAATCCTAAATCCTAACCTGTACCTTGTGGGCTTCCCAGGTGGCTCACTGGTGAAGAATTTGCCTGCCAATGCAGGAGACATGGGGTCAATCCTTGGGACAGGAAGATCCCCTGGAGAAGGAAATGGCAACCCTCTCCAGTATTCTTGCCTGGAAAATCCAATGGACAGAGAAGCCTGGTGGGCTACTGTTCATGGGGTTGCAAAGAGTTGGACACGACTGAAGCAACTAAACAACAACAACGACCTCAGCACCGGAAAGCACTGCTTCCTGGCCTTACAAGGGACCAGCTTTTGTTCTCGACATCATTCTCCATAATTCTTTGTGAGGGTGGGCATGCCGCCTCCATCCCTGCCCACTTCCACACTAATTCCTCAGAGAAATGACAGGCTGTTTAATAATACGACACAGCTCTCCGCTCAGCCTCCCCGGCCTGCCTGATTTAACCCCCTTTCCCTCAGCAGTTGCTCAGCCTCCCAGCCCATCGAGGGCCTTCAAGCGACTCGATTCTCCTGCACCTCGGGGCCGCTTCCCCGTGACCCACCGCCGCAGCGGAAGGCAGCTTCCCTGGGCTCCGGATGCTTCTCAATAATCAGCTTTGTGAGCCTGGGCCGCAGCTGCCCCTGGGCCTCCCAGGCCTCGCCGGGAAGGAAGATGATTGGATTAGAAGGGGCTTGGTTAATGGAAAAAGCAGGGAGGAGGGGAGAGGTGAGTTAAGTGCTGCTCTGCTGGGCTGGGGCTGGGCCCGCCTGCTCTCCCACTGCTGCCGTTCCCTTAGAGACAGACAGACCCAAGGCTGGCTGACGGCAGCCGCAAACCCAGACCCAGACGTGAGTTACTTTTCCCGGCGGGCCTTCTGGCCTGCTCTCTAAGACGGGGCAGCATGGTCGTCAGAAGAAAGCGCCGGGACCTGCTCTTTTTTCCCCTAATATTTATTTATTTGGCTGCACTGGGTCTTAGCTGCAGCACTGGAACTCCTAGTTGTAGCATGTGGGATCCAGTTCTCTGACCAGGGATCGAACCCAGGCCCCCTGCATTGGGAGTTTGGAGTCCCAGCTACTGGTTCACCAGGGAAGTTCCTGGGACCCGTTCTTGAAAATGCCCAAGTCCACTTCCGGACAGTTTCTTAGAAGCTTCTTCCAGGGTAATCCCACTGGCGGCAAGGCAGAGGAGAGGGAACAGCTGATATCTGTGTCCCCAGCACCTGGTCCCGGGCGTTATGCACAGTTGGAGTCGACAGGGGCTTGATAGCTTAGAAGAAGCTGGAGACCTGAACCTGAAAGGGAAGGGCAAGACCTCCAAGGGAGGAAAACAGACTTAATTCTCCTGTTGCCTGGGTCATGTCAGGTCAGGACGTAGAGACGAAGGATGGACACACAGCCTCAGCTGTCACGGTCATCCACTCGGGCAGTGCATCGGGTTCAACTCCGAGTCTGTGCCCAACACGTGAGCCTCCATGAGGCGTCTTGTCCTTCAAAGCCTCTACTCACCCTCACAGGACAGCGGCAGATACGGCTGCTTTTTAAGCCACCACGAAACCCGTTACCTAGATATATTACTGACAGCCTAGAGGCCTTGTAGAAACTTCTTTCAAAAGTGCTGTAATCTGGAAGATCAGGAGATGACTGAGCACTACTAAAGGACTTTTTAAATTTTTCATTAATTAATTTTTGGCTGCACTGCATGACTGCACTGCCTGGCATGCGGGATCTTGGCTCCTCAACCAGAGATTGAATCCAGGCTCCTGCAGCGGAAGTGTGGAGTCTTAACCACTGGACCGCTAGGGAAGTTCATAAAGGACAATTTAAACTTCAGTCCAGAGCCTGCCTCTGGATGAAAAGGGGACAATGTGTTCACTGTAGGACCAGGGCCGATTGAGAGCAAGTGGCGCCTGAGAATAGCCCCTACGCGTCTCCTGTTCCCAAGAGAATCCTAAACATGGAGAGCAAAGCTAACACATCAGCATGCGTCCAAACCCTACCTGCCAACACCACAGGTGAAGGCGGCAAGAACAGCAGGGCCTCAAGAACAGCAGGGCCTCGGTGCTCCTTGGGAGGAATACAGCAACTCTGCTCAAGCTGGTTAGAATACACTCTAATGACACAATTCATCACCCTCTTGTCAAGCAAAGCGCCTGCTCACAGGGGGTCTGGAACAATTACTCAGCGTGCCTCCGCCCAGCCTTGCTGCCTCCTCCTCCGGTCAAAGGGTTCTCTCCAGTATAAACCATTGCGTCCAGCAAAATTCAGAGTGGGCGCTGCAGGCATGCTGACAACGCACCAAAACCGCTTGCTCATGGTTTCCACCATCCCGGCCAGCCTCCCTCGCAAGGAAAGGAGCCAGGGAGTCAGAACAAGGTGTTCTGACCAGGGTCCGGGCCGTTGGTGCTGGCCCCAGGGGTCCAAGGGCGCTGAAATCCTGGGAATGTGCAGCTAGCAAATAGATTTCCAATGTAAAGACGTACATCGGGGAATTCCCTGGTGGTCCAGTGGTTAGGACTCTGTGCGCTTTCACTCCTGGAGGCCCAGGTTCGATCCCTGGTTGGGGAACTAAGATCCTGAAGCTCTTAGTTCTACTAAGGACTACCTCTCTGGCTATCCTGAAGCAAGACTGAGGGGTCAGGACAGAGCTGCAGGACAGCAGAAGCAGGAGGGTGGGCTTGGGGGATGCTCAGCTGCACTGCAGGAAGGCTTTATCCTGCTTGCTCACTGCACACTGGCCAGGCTTATCTGCAGCCCCAGGTGAGGTGTGCAGAGCACCATGCAGTTTGAAAAGGACAACAAAAAGGATTGCAATGGTCCAGTACTTTTCTTTCAGCCCCACCCAATGGGTTTCACACATAAATGACTCAGGAATCCGGATTCAAAATAGGCCTAAAAAGAAAACGCAGTTTTCCTTCTTTAAGTATTCTATTTTATTATATTACTCTCAGGACAACCGCCATCCTTGAAGCCCTGGAAACAAGCCACATACACGTGCATTTGGAATCCCGTGGGCTGGAGGGTGAGGGGGGTGTGTGTGGGGGGAGGTGTGTGTGTGTGTGTGTGTGTGTGTGTGGGAGGGGGGTGGGTGTGACCCGTGCCAGAGGAGGAGAGGCCAAGCAGAGGAAAGCCAGCCAGGCGACAACCCGCAACTCCGAGGCTCGGCCACACTTCGAGGGAGGGCTGAGAGTCTGCACGCCGGGACCTTCCCTTCCTGCCGATCGAGGGCTCTGCCCTCCTTGGGGCAGCCCGGCCCGAGGCTGGGGGCCCGGTTCTCGGCTCGGCCGGGGGCGCCAGGGGGCGCCGACTGGCGAGGGGAACCGGGCCCAGGGGTGGGAAGGGGCGCCCGGAGGGCGGGTCCGTACCTGCCTCTCCTCGGCGGCCTGCTCCTCCGCCTCCGCCGGCGCCGCCTCGGGCTCGTCAGGCGGCGCCGGCTCCCCCGGCCCCTCGGGCGCGGCCGCTGGCTCCGCGGCGCAGGGTCCGGGCGGCGCGGGTTTCACGCTGGCTTCGGCCGGAGGCGCGGGCTCCGGGGGCGCGGGCTCCGGGGGCGCGGGCTCCGGGGGGTCCGGGCTCGCGGCCGCCCCGCGCCTCACCAGCAGCCAGGCGAGCAGCAGGGCCAGCGCGGTGGCCAGCGCGGGCAGCGCGGCCAGCAGTTCGGCCGGCGCCTCCATCGCGCCGCGGCAACCCGAGTGCCCGCCTGCGGGGACCCCGAGGGAGCCCGCCTCGCCCCGCCCTCGCCCCGCCCCGGGGCGGAGTCCCCGCCGCGCCACGCCCCCGGCCCGCCCCCGACCTTCCCGGCTCCGGGTGACTCAAGATGCTGGGGACAAGAGCCCCTCGGGAAGCGCTCTTGAGTCCCAGGTAGGCCCGACGCTTTAGGCTTAGACCCCCTTTGAAAACTAGAGTAAATACCCAGCACTCCGGGGGCCTTTTGGCATCATTTTAGCCCCGCACAAGTCATCTTTGAGCATTTTAGAATTGCCAAGGCTTCCCTGGTGGCTCAGACGGTAATCTGCCTGCAATGCGGAAGACCTGGGTTCGATCCCTGGGTCGGGAAGATGCCCTGGAGAAGGGTATTGCAACCCACTCCCGTATTCTTGCCTGGAGAATCCCATGGACAGAGGAGCCTGGCAGGTTACAGTCCATGGGGTCGCAAAGAGTCGGACACGATTGAGTGACTAAGCACAGCCAGGGAATGCTGAGGGCAAGGCAAAGGCTGTAGGACAATGAATCAATTCTGCTTCCTTTCAGCCGCCTTCTAGACCCATCGCCAGCGGCTTTTACTCTTTCGGGTTGCCTTGGTACGTTCATTCTCACAGAGGACGTTTCCAGGTGGTGGCCTGTGAATGCCCCATTCCTGTCCGGACCCAGCAGGGCCGTGGAGGCTGCCCCCAAAGACGGGCTTCAAGGTCAAACTCGATTTTCTCTACCGTCTTTCTTCTTCGAATAATTCTGTAATGTAGGAGAGGGTGAAATGAAGGAAAAGACGTCTACTGTTTTTGCTTCTTCAGACCCTTCCAGGGCTGTTACTGAACAGTGTAGGTTGGAGATAAATGTAACAGAAAACCTTTCTCCCTACCACTCCCAAACCCTGCTCTAGTTATTTTAAAAAAAAACAAACAGTGGACAGCTTGTTAGGTGCTGTGCCAAACACAGGACTAATATTGAAAAACCAGGCCCTGGTTTTTACTTAGGATGCATTCAATACTTTTTTGGGAAAAGCAGTGTCTGAGTTGATATCTGATGTAAGATGCTGGAAGGAGTGAGTTCTTCTTTTTTATTTAAAAAATATATTTTACTTTTATTCATTTGGCTGTGCTGGGTCTTGGAGCAGCAGGCCAGATCTTCGCTGCAGGTTCTTTAGTTGTGGCATGGAGACTCCTAATTGCAGCAGGTGAGGTCTCCTTCCCCAACCAGGGATGGAACCCAGGCCCTCTGCACTGGGAGCATGGAATCTCAGCCGCTGGACCACCAGGTCCCACCCACCCATCCCCCGCCCCGCCCAGTGCTTCTTTTTAAAAGGAAGATGCAAGAACACTCTCAAGCTTCCTCTTGAGTTCTGGCTAGGACAAACAAGATCCCAACAGCAGGGTGAGCTTAATCCTGCAACATCACATAACGTTAGGGGGACACACAAAGAGAATTTTAGTATCGGTTGATGAAAAATGCCGACTACTCTGAAATGTGGAATGAGGTTTTTCTCCTGGCTACTAGCTTTTAACCACTGGGGGATGTTCACCCAAAGTGTTTGGACCTTTTTTTTTGTCACCTGTCTCCCCTGTTTTAAAGTGTACAGTTGACTCTTGAACAACATGTGTTTGAAGTGCATAGTTCCACTTACATGTGTATATTTTTCCATTAAACAGGAATTGCAGTACTATGCAATCTGTGGCTGGCTGCAGAACTATGAAACTTGGATACAGAGGGCTGACTCTCAGCTTTTCTTGAATTTTTCACTGTGCATAGGGAGGGTCATGCCCCTAAACCCTGAGTTGTTCAAGGGTCAAGTGTATTTTTAAGAGGTCCCTTTGTACAGACAAACTCAGTACACTCTGTTGACTTTCAGATGAGTAAGAATGAAAACAAGGACAAGACAATGCAAAAAACCCAACCCCAAATCAAGTTGCTTTATTTAAAATGATGAACAAGTTTCATCATAGTCCAAGTTAAAAATGCCAATCCAGTGGCAGCTGTCCCCCAGCACGCTCAGGCATTTGGTGACAGTCCCCACAGGAAAAACTAAAGCAGAACCAGCAGGCGCTCAGCGTGCTCGACTTAATGACTGAGGAGGCACCAGGCATTCGGGGGATGATCCCAGCTCCTCCGTAGTGTCCGGTGCCCATGGAGAGGGCAGGCGAGGTCAGTTCTCCTGCTCCCAGGAGAACAGAGGATGGGTGCGAGGTGTTCCAAGTTTTTGAACTTGAACTACAGATGAGACAAAGTTAAAAGCCATCCTGGGAGGGCTCCTGCAGTTTTGATGTATCATGACAGAAGCTAGGGAGGCGGGAGTGAGGAGAAATCAGAGTCCACGTGGAACCATCAGCAGGACTCAGTACACATGGCAAAAACACTTATTTGTGGAAATGCTACATACAATTCAAAAATCTACGGCTGCGTGCTTAAATGCCTACTTCCTAGACAGTAGTTTTTACATTTACTGCAAAATCCCTGTTCCACTCCAACTCTTATCTAGCATCTTAATAGAAGCAGAACCTCTAATAAATTTGTAAAGCACTTGTACCAGCAATTTTTGAGCTGCTTCTTAAATACCTTTAACTGATTTACAAAGAAACTGTGTCCTCAGTTAAAAATACAGCTAAATTTATAATTATGTTCCTTTATGAAGATCTCATTAACTTGTACTTAGTAAGGGCTAGACTTGCTTTTCTGATCACGGAGATGGACGTGCACGGTTCTCCCCGCCCTGACCCGTCCGTAGTGCTTGTAACAACAGCACCCTCACAGTCCGTGAAGATCTATGAGGTCAGGGATCTGGGCTTGTCCCTGTGGCGTCTCCAACACCTAGTACAGAGCCTGGAGCTCCAACGTTTGTTGAACGTTTTAATGGTGAACAAATGGGCATCTATAAGCTGAGCAAAATGTGAACAGTGTTCCTGTTTTTGGCGGCTCTCCCCTCACAGGCGTCACATTCAACATCACGGCACTACGGACCTCAGAGGCACCTACCGGTGTGCGACACTGGCCGCCTCGGGCTGATGGTGAAGCCTTCGTGACCTCCCTTGTCTCCACATACCCAGATGTCCTGGGTCCCCGACTCTGGTCTCACCCACCCCGATCCTCCTCTTCAGTAGTTACTAGTCTAGATCCTTTCTTCTAGGATCCAGCTTGTTGGGTTTGTGTTTTAAACATTTCTTTATTTGGCTGCACTGAGTCTCGGTTACAGCATGCAGGATCTTCAGTTTTGTTGGGGTAAATATGATCGTTAGTGGCAGCATGTGAGAATCTAGTACCCTGACTAGCGATTGAACCCAGGCTCCCTGCATTGGGAGTGCAGTGTCATAGCCACTGGGCCATCAGGGAAGTCCCCTCCGCACCGCACCCCCCCCCCCCCCGCCTTCGCTATTGGTTTTAACGTCAGTTGTCATCTCAGAGAATAATCTCTAAAAAGAGTTTAATGTTGTATCTTTCTCCTTACTGCCCTTGACACCACTCAAAGGAGCAGCTCATGCCAGGTGGGTAGAAGGGTTGACTTTAGATCAGATGGGCCCTTGGATCCCACTTCCTACCTCACAGTGACCAGACCACCTGGCACATTCTACTGCTTTATTTCCTCACCTTGGCCCTACTTTCCTTTCACAGTGGTGGGTTTGCCTGGCACAGTAACAGTAAAAGGCAGCTGCTGAATCTCACCCGGTAAGAAAACGAAGGAGGGTCCCATGGTCCTTCATGGGGTGGCCTGTGCCACCCAGGCACTTTCAGGAGAGGGGACTGCGGGCCTGTCACATAGGCTGGATCTCTCATTTCTGGATGTTGTTTATCAAACAGGAATTACCTTTGGCATTGGGGGAAGTAAAACTGGGTGGCTAGTCTCTCCAACCAAACTTCCACTTCACCATGCCCACCACGCCCCCTGGTGGCAGGCGGCCTGTTCGGTGGTTTGATCCTTTACGCTGAAGTTGAGGGAGAAGCGGTTGGTGAGGATTTGAGGAAAGGGAGTGTGAGGGCCAGGCAGCAACACTGGGGAAAAGAAAGAAGCACTCTGAAGATGTCAAGGAAAGTGTTTAAAAAGGAGGAGGAACGCCATTCAGATATGAACGTGATCTCTGGATGATCCCTTCAGGGTCTGGATTCGCTCACACCTAGAGATACTTCCTGGGCTTCCCTGGTGGCTCAGTGGTAAAGAATCTGCCTGCAATGCAGAAAACTCAGGTTCAGTCCCTGGGTTGGGAAGATCCCCTGAAGGGAATGGTACTCCATTCCAGTATTTCGCCTGGGAAATCCCATGGACAGACAAGCCTGGAGGGCTCTAGTCCATGGGGTCACAGAGTCAGATACCACTCAGTGAGTGAGCACTCACAGGTACAGCCACTCCCTGGAGCCAGAGGGTGTGTGTGTGTGTGTGTGTGTGTGTGTGTGTGTGTGTGTGTGTTGGGGGGGGCGGGTAGCAGGTAGACTGATACTAGGAAGTGAGCAGAAGTTCCATCCAATCCACACATGAGTTTTGGTTGGCCTTTTAGAATGCAGAAAATTGGGCAAAGACAAAAGAGGGGACCAGCCTTCTAGAGTAAAGCCACATGACCAACCCAGGGACTTAGGAAGGGACAACTGGTCTGTAGACAAGTAAACAGGATTCCCCTGATTATACCCACTTTAAGGGAGGATTCTCAGCGGCAATGGGCACGACTCCAGTTGGCGGCCACACTCCTCCGCACCTGGTGGCGCTGTGAGGCTCCTCTGCCTTAACCTGCTGGTGCCTTTCTCTCCCGCAGTCCAACCTGGAAATTGTCACTGGGTGTGTCCTCGACAGCCCCCTCTTATTTTTATAACACTTCAGTTGAATTTAGAGACGGATGAAGGCAAGCAGGTGAATCGAGAGGGCAAGAGATGGAACCTACTGGTCAACCTCTAAGTATTTAAACCAGAGTTATTTAGAAACCTAAACAGATCCCAAAGACCAGATGAACCACCTCTGCATTTATTCCTGGCTGCTAACAGGATCGCCCACCTAATGTCTGCAGGTCCAGGATATGAAGCTGTTAATCATGAAGCCTCTTAAGAGAGCAAGAGCTTCTGACTCAGGGATCAGGTACATGGTGGGAAAGACGGGGACAAATTTGTAAGAACCTGGTCCTGTTTATAACTTCATTTCTGTGATGACAACACACTGAACACCTTTCCCACTTTGATCATAAACCCAACAAGCCCGATGTGTCATCCTTCCCCCACAACACACACCATGTGAAAATATCCTTGGAATCTCACAGCCCCTCTGGCCACAGAGAAAAGGTGACGAACGCTAAGGCTGCACTATGCAGTGGGTGAGTGAGTGGCGCTGGCCCCCGGCCAGGTTTCTGCTGCCGAATGCATTTCTGGACGAATGATGGCCCACAGGAAGGCGGTGTCCTCGTTGGTCCTTCTTTTACATAACTGGTTCACACGGAACTCAGAGTCCACTCACCACTCTTGGCGTCTCTGCTTGCGTGCAGCCAGACACGTGGCTGGCGGGAGTCCCACACCACCACCAGCAAGGCGACAAGGCATTCAAAGGATCACAGCCCTCCAGGCTTGCAGTTGGCAGACCAGCACAGTTTTAAAGCACAGAAGCTTCTCACCCGACATTACGGCGGCCTTCAGGGCTTCGTTGAGCGTGCTGAATTTTTTTTTAACTTCTTGACAATCTAGTCTCAGTTAGCAGAGAAAAAACAGCATTTGACCGGAGACATGAGCTTGGGTCAGAGAGGATTATCCAAATTCAGAGAAGACAAAGGAGAAGGTAGGAGCAGAAGACAGGAAGACTGAGGTGGGTGGCTGCCAACAGCTCCCACGGGAGCCACCTCAGGGAGAGCTTCAGTTTAGGGGTGAGCACGGCCTCCACAAGTGTCCCTAATCCTGTCAAGGAAAGTACAACCACCTGTGATCAGCAGGTAGACAGCATGGGCTGCTGCAAAGGAGAATGAAAGGTTAAAAGCAGAACCCCCAGGGCCCTGGGCTGAAATAATAGCAGGGTCTTCTCTAAAGACTTTCCTTTATAAAGTACGAATACAAAGTCATACCCTAGGGGCAGATATAAGTCTACAACAATAGAAACACGGCAAGAAGAGAAATCTACGGCTAGAAAGGACAACTAGGGCTGAGAAATGAGTAATCCAGTCTGATCAGTTCATCTGATTAGGACACCCGAATAGCCCCCACAGGATTCCAACCAGACCCCAGAGAATGAGGAAATGACGACAGAAAGGAATGGGGGTCCTCCATTTCTGTCACATTTAGGCAAGTGCTAGGCTGCTTGGAGACACAAAGAATGTAACAGGGGCTTCAGCTGCAGTGGGCAGGGCCTTCGGACAGAATCCCAAGAGCTTCAGGATTTCCCTGTCTCCCCAGAAACCATCCATCTGAATGCGGCCAAGGTGACACTTCAGCCAGCAGCACGTGGAGCAGGGCTCTGGGGCTCAAAGACCGGGGGTGCAGCAGGGTCTCCACACTTCAGTGGGGGCCTGGCGTGTGTGCAGCGCGGGGGGAGCCGCTTGCAAAAGGTTAGCTTGTTGATTTTATCTCAAGTTTTAACTTATTTAGATCCAATTCAGGGTTTTTTTTTTTTTTTTTTAATAATTTATTTAGTTTGTTTAGGCTTGTGGGAGCTAAGTTCCCCAAGTTCAGGGACTGAACCCAGACCATTGGCAATGAAAGCTCAGAGTCCTAACCACTGGACCACCAGGGAATTCCCTCACTCAGATTTAACACAAAAACAAAACCCCACTGGAGACATGATTAAGATTTTATTTAAATAATTTGCAAGTGCTCCACAGAGCAGTGGCAAACTGGGAGAAAAAGCAGGAGGCCACACCTCAGACTCTTCAGAAGTTTGGGAATGACTTCTCAGCGTTTCCCCCTTTACTGTGATAACAACCATCATTTCCCCACAGAGGGCAGCCACCACCCGCCAGCAGAGTCAGTATTTTCTCCCAAGGTCAGGGCAAGAAGAGCAATGAGAGGAGGTTCTGGTGTTTTCCAGGAAAAAAAAAATTCAAAGATAGAAGATGAATTTAACTTTTATTAAATAACGTCAAGGTTTCCCTTGGCACCATTCACACAGATCCTCACCCTTATGCATAAAATAAGCCACGTTCATTTGCATTGGTAGCGGAGAAGAAAGCTACTGTCGCAAACACTGAGTGAACGGCTCCTGTGCCCCAGAGGTCCTCATTCTCTGGCTTTCACCGGCCCTCCCCGGGCTGCCCCGGGGCCCTGCTGCAGGCTGCAGGCTCGTCCTCACACACAGACGGCAGGCATGCGCGGTCACCTGGAGGAGCTGCGCTCTTTGCTCACGCAGTCGTCCTGCGAGGTGGTGTCCCCATTCCCCACCATGCCACACGTCCGCCTCTTCTTCCTGCGGTGCATCGTGCCTTCGCCTTCAGAGCCAGACTCGCACTGGACGTGGAAGGAGAGAAATAGGGCGTCAGTCGGAGGCAGCTAGGGATTGAACTTGGGCCCTCAGCAGTGAAAGCAGAGTCCTAACCACAGAAACCAGGCAATTCCCTCTAGGTTTATTATTTACCATCCGCGGAAATTCCTAACGTGGGCTTTCAGTCTGGAGAATGCTTGAGTTTAAATCCCAACACCCCTGTCCCCAGCTGTGTGATCCTGCATCATTTACCTAACCGAATCTTCAGCTACTTCTCACCCTTAGAGAGCACTCTGCGTGCGTGCCGTGTGCATGTGAAGTTGCTTCAGTCACCTCTGACCCTTGGCAACCCTATGAACCATAGCCCGCCAGGCTCCTCTGTCCACGGCACTCTCCAGGCAAGCATACTAGAGGGGGTTGAGGGGATCTTTCCAACACAGGTATTGAACTCGTGTCTCCTGTCTCCTGCATTGGCAGGTGGGTTCCTTACCACTAGCACCACCTGGGAAGCCCAGTGATTATTTAAACAATTAACAAACACCTTCAGAGTTATAAAATGGGCAAACTTTACCCCACAGAAGGACTGAGGACAGTTGTAGTTCTTGGAAGAAGGTGAAACATGACCCCCTCTCTCTCCCTCTTGGGGAGGAGGCAGGAAAGTCCCCTCTGGTTTTTCCAGGGTGCCCTGCCCTGGAGGACCGGGGAGCGAGCACAGCCTCACCTCTGAGTCCGAGTCGGACGAGCTGGAGCTGGAGGAGCTGGAGGAGTCGCTGGAGCTGTCGGAGGCGATCCCTGTGGATTCCTGCAGGTCGACGGAGTCAGCCAGGACCGCCAACTCCGGGTGCTCCTGCTTCAAGATCCTGAGGGACAAGACACGTGCTCTCAGTGCGGCGACACCCACCCACAGAGCCCCAGACTCAGGGCTGAGCCCTGCCTCTCCTAGACGTGCCGGGACGGTGGAGAGGACACACACGGATCCACAGGCCGGGGACAAGAGCCCCCCCCTGCTGCTCAGGCTTTCCTGAAAGGAAAACTGGCTACACGCAACTTGCTGCTACCTCCTGAGCTGCCCAGCCACGTGTGCTGCCCACACGAGGCCACGCTTCCCTGAGTTAGTCGTGGGAGAAACCATCTCTCTCCCTCGTACTTTTCCCTGCACCTTCCTAGCTGATGTTTTTTAACCTCTCCTTTCCACAGCACAGTGCTCAGTGATGGGGCTGGGCTCGGTTGACGTTCTTTTTGTTAAGAGCAGAAACAACGAGGTTTGTGAGAGGTAAGAAGCACTGGGTGACGGAGAGGGTCCCCCCTCACTGGGAGGTAAAGTTGGACAGGACTGTCGGGGGGCAGCTGCCAGCCCGCCCCTCAGGGGCCTCCTCTGGCGGCCCCTGCAGCCGGGGACAAAAGACGCACTGTTCGGGAAGGCCTTTCCGAAGGACCAGACGGCAGTACGCAGCGGCCTGAGGGATGGAGTCAGTGGGCCTCGGACGCCCAAGAGTCCGGGGAGGATAAAGCCACCACCCTTGCTGGCCCTCTCAGCAGGGAGGCTGAGCACTGAGCAAGCCGGGATCCCTCTCTTACCCCGAGAGCTGGTCCCTCCAGGTCAGGGTTGGGACACAGTGGCACGGGGTGGCTGGGGGTGGCTTGCACTGCCGCTGCCCGTGCTGTATCTGTTCTGTGGATAAACAGAGGAGCTAAGTCTCCAGGGCAGTCACCTCACTCACGAGAACTGAAGGTAATAAGTTCAAATGGGGGGTAAAGCTTCTGGAGTAAGGAAAAGAAAACCACCAAAATCAAACCCAAACAAAATGGCTACCTTTGCTAGAGCTAGCTTTGAGGAAAAACAAAACTAAAACCAAACAAACGAAAACAGAAAATGAGGAACAAGACCAATTATGACCGTGTGTGTTTGTTGGGACTACCTGGCCTTGATCAAACATGCAGTCTGAGCCTGTCACCTTGAGGCGGGCAAGCCTCCTGAGAACTGGCCCTGACCTTGGACTCACTCTCTTCTACCCATGAGGTTTTGGAGCCCCAGTTGTTCCCAGGCCTGATTTAAACTCAGCACATGTTACAGCAGCAGTGGACTCTTGCCACTGTATCACTGGGGTAGAAGTTTGAGCAAAGCAAAAAATAAGGAAAAAAAAATGTCTCTCACCTATACCATTTCCTTGACAACTTTGGTCTCCCTCTTACCGTCTTGTGCCAGACAACAGGGAAGTTGGTACTGCTGGCAAAGTTCTGGGTGATGGCAATGGTGGTGTCAAGATTGAGGACAACGTGCCACCAGCCTCCTGAAATCCAACAAATAAACAGTTAAACAGGAACGGGCTCTACACACAATCACCCTACAACACAAATTTCACATAACATGTGACACAAACTTCAGAAACTGGGGATTCCTGTCCACAAGGGACAGTCTTAAGAGAACCAGGACCCAGTGTGGTAAACGCTCCTCCTGAGGCAGGAACCACCAACCACCTGCTTGTGTAAAGTTTCACTGGAACCTGGCCATACCTGCTTTCCTGCCACCTGGGCAGAGCTGAGCACTTACGACAGAAACCATCCGGCCTGCAGTGCCTAAAATATTTATTCTCTGGCTCTTTTACGTAATAAATGTGTCCAGCCCTGACCATCCAAAGCTGTGACCAAAACTGTAAAGGCAGCAAGTTCTTCGGTTTCTAGGAGGAAGGTGCATACCTTAAATACCCTCAATTCCAACACTTAACCTATCAAAACAAAGTGTAATTTTCAGGTGTGGGATTTCCTGCCTCTTGGCTTTTAAGTAACTGTTTCCTGACTCAATCCACCCAGTGCTACACTGTGTCAAAAACCCCATTTATGGAAATAAGCACAAGTCACTGAACACACACAAAGACACTGGGTAACTAGTAGGAATAAAAATGAACAGGCACTCCAGCAGATAAGAAGTTTTTCAATAGTCATTATACACACAGGCTACAAGAAAGGTGGACAGCAGCCCCCTGAGCAGGTGATCACACAGCAACACATCAGTCAGAGGCAGGCCCCAGTCAGTCCACCCAGAGTCAGCATGCAGAGGAGTTTCTTTGACTCACACTGTATATAACTGTGCTCCAAAATGACAGATTACTGAAATCAAAGAAAGTACTTTTGGATCATTTATACCTGGCACAAAGACAGTCTCTCCTGGTTTCTGTAAGATTTCCAGGGGTTTGAATTCAGGTGGCCAGGTTGGAAGCTGCGTCCGGGGATAGATGATGTTAAACCAGGTAATAGCTTCATCTTGCTGGTTCCCTCCTTCTTCCCGGGTCACCTTGATGAGCTCCCTAGGTGTGCTGGTAGGGAACAGGCACCAGCGCTTGTGGCCCTGAACCAAGGCATTCCAGGCACTGGTTCCCAGAGGGTCGATGTGGATTCCTGTTCCAGAGCGTGGTGGCCCCATCACAAACCACCTAAAGGATGGAAGCATCCAAGATGTGCAGTGTAATTTAACTACATACATGCCACAAAAGCAGCTTTCAGTTTTATACAAATGTTACTGTTATTTTGAAAACTGGGCAAATTCTGATATACAGAAATGCTGAGTAAATTGTACATGGACTGATCCCTAACAGAAAAATCATTGACGCGGCTTATTGCTGGACTTTAGCTATTAAAATGTCCCTTACAGAGACTTTCCCGGTGGTCCAGTAGCTAACACTACGGGCTCCCAAAGGAGGGGGCCCAGGTTTGACCCCTAGTCAGGGAACTAGGGGCTTCCTTGGTGGCTCAGCAGTAGAGAATCCACCTGCAATGCAGGAGATGCAGGTTTGATTAAGCCAATCCCCTGGAGTAGGAAATGGCAGTCTACTCCGGCATTTTTCCTTGGGAAATCCCATGGACAGGGGAGCCTGCAGAGCTACAGTCCCTGGGGTGGCAGAAGAGTTGGCTACGACTGAGCGACTAAACAACAACAAAAGGGAATGAAATCCTGCATGCCACAACGTAAAAGAGCCTGCATGCCGAAACCAAGACCTGGCACAGCCAGGATAAATAAATATTTAGGTAAAATAAAATGTCCTTTACAGATCACTGGTTCAACTTTGATTGCATGCGTGGGTCACATGGGGGAGCTTTCAGAAATCTGATGCCCAGGCAGCATCAGGCAGGAGGCTCTGGGCAGGTATGGGAAGCCCTTTAAGTTCCACGAGCAACCAAGGCAGAACCACTCAGTTTCAGAAAAAAGATTAGTTGCTGGAGACAAGATTATAACCACATCACTGCCTAGTATTTACCTGTAAGGGGGCCTGCGCTTCTCCCCCGCATACTGGAAAAGGTCATCGGTGAAAAACTTGGGCACCTTGTAGTCTTCCAAAAGTTTCCTTCTTTTGGGGTGCTCCCCGTAGCTGCTGTCAAAGATGTAAAGGGGGCTGTCATCGCGGGTGCTCTCCATGTACTCGATGTAGTATTTCATCTTCATCTTCACCGAGTACCCGTCATTATCCTCCCCACACTTGAACTTCTGGTTCCGGTATTTCCTTTTGAGGCGCTCCAGAGTCCACTTCTCCTGCGCGGACCAGCCCTCTTGGGCATTCAGCAGAACCACGGGCTTGTACGGTCTTTCATATCGCTCCACAAATTCTTCCACCGACAGTTGTAAAGCGTCTGCCCTTTCCACATTGTCCTGAGGGAATCAGAAAAGACCCATCGAATTAAAAAAAAAAAGAGAGAGAGAGAAAAGCCCAGTGGCAGGTAAGGGTGTTCCCCAAAGCCAACTAGCAATCACATGCCCAAGGAGCCAGATTCTAGCTCTGGCTCCTCGTAGGGAGGGGAAGGACTTGCGTGCGTTCGGGCACGGCAAAGCCACCGCTATCCCACCAGGCAAGCGGGGCTTCGCGTCTCCCACTCGTGGCCTTGGACGCCCAAGTTCCCTATGGCCCCGCCGCCCAAAAGGGGTGCAGGGGTGACAGGCCTCGTGGAGGGTGTCAAGGGCGTGGGGCTCCAGCTGCCCCCGGCAGGCGCGGCTGCGGCGAGGAGAAATGAGGCCCGCCTTGGAACGGGCGCCGACGACCCCGACCTCCGCGGGGTGCGGGCGAGCCCACCGGAACTCCGGGGCAGTGCTGGGCGGCTGGCGGACGCCGGTCCCAGGAGAGGTGCGCACAGCCCCCGGCGGATGCCCGTGGTCCGCCCGGCCCGCGATCGCGGCCCGCTCACCGCCACGGCCGCCGGGTTCAGCGGGAAGCTCTCGTAGTAGTTGTGCCGGGTCCAGTCCAGCGAGTCCTTCAGCTCCGGCCGCGCACTCCGCTTGGCCTCGCGGATCCGCTTCTTGCTCTTGTGGTTCATCCTGCAGGGTCACCACCAGCTGGTTCCGCGACGACCTCGGCGCAGCTCGCTTCCTGCCACCAATGCGCCGCCCCCCTCCCCGCACACACACACCCAGGTTCGGGCGACGGCAGCAACAAATCGCCCTTCGCTCCGGCCCGGCGCCTTTAAAGTCGCCTTCCAGAAGATTCACTCCCTAACCACCTCCCGAGCCTCCGGTTGGACCAGTGGCTGTCGTCTTCCCCGCCCTCCGGCCTCTCGCGATAAGCCATTGGCCTCCGCGTCTCCGGGTCCGGCCCTCACACAGGCAGGATCTCCGCCATGTTGGGAAGGTCAGCCCAGTCGTGTTACCTCTTCGTTGCGGCTCCGCCTCTCCCACGCCCGCTTCCTGTTCGTCACTTCCGGCGGCGCATGGGGTCTTTTTTGGCCTTCTTCCGGCGGGCTAGCCGCCAGCTCCACCTGTTCTCTGTCTCTGCCTGGTGTGGGGGGTCTGTTCTCGCTGCATGGTCGTTTAGTCGCTCGAGGGGTGCTTCCCCCGCCAGCTGTCGGGTAGTAGCGACCTGACGTGCTCCGGGGAGACGGCCCGAGCCGGCCCGGGGGCCCTCGCGCGTGCAGCTTGGCAGCCTGGCGGCCCGGCGCTCTCCCCTGCTCCCGGCCCACACGGACACCACCGACTCCTCTTCGGACGAGGGTGGCCTCCGAGGGCAAGTGGTCCGGGCCCAGCGCTTTCGGTTCTCGGAGGGGCCGGGTCTGGGAGATGAGGGGGCCGTACTGGAGGTGTGCGTCCCGCAGGTGCGTGTCAAGGCACCCGCAGGGAAGCGCCTTAGGGAAATAGTGTGTCTCAGCCGGCCTGGGGCTGTAGGGAGGGTATAAGGGAGGGGGTCAGGGGCTTTTTCATTCCGCCTTCGGGTGAACCCGCAGAGCCAAACGGTTTGGTATGAAGCCTTTTGGCAGGTTAAATGTCGAGAAGGGGAACTTCTCCATACCTAATTATTTCTTGCTGGGAAAGTGACATTCTTGACACCTAATTTTTATAATCTTGTTGAAGGGCGTGTTAATTGAGATTTATCTGGGAGGGGATTCCAACTCTCATTAATCAAAGTTTCTGGGGCTTGGCCTTGCTTCCTTTCAGCTCATGGCTGCCCCCAGATTCTCAGTAGCAATTATATATTTTTTTATGCGTCCGGTTTTTCAAAGCACTTTCACGTTGCAGTGTTTCATTTGATTTTAACAGCAGCTGGTGGGGTAGACATTGGCATTAACGGTTTTGAATATGAGAAACAGGTTAAGAGGAGTTGTAGGGTGGAGTTGAAGGAGTGGAATCCATTTCTGGCAGTCTCTAAAAGCCTTCGTGTTAAAATTCCCCTTTCGATTTCTTCCCAAATTTAGGAAGTGGATGAAGATACACCTTGTGAAAAAATACACCTTTAATTTAAAAAATGTTGTATTGGGGTATTGTTGAAGATATGTCTTTTTTTTTTTTTAATTACCTAAATTTGGATAACTCACTTCAGATCAGAACTCCTTCACTGTACTCCTGGGCAAAATCCACCAGGGCAGGCATTTTTGTTTTATTCACACCTAGAATATTTTTTTAGGTAAGAAGTGCATTTGTTTAGAAACACACTCCACAGACAAAAGTGGACCATTTCAGTGGGCAAGTGCAGCCTAGGCACTAATATCTCTGTTGAGTGTATTGAATGATTATATGAAGACCTTCAGTTCCTTCACTTTTGATATTTTTATCTTTTCAGCCTATCACCCTGGGAGGCGCACGGTTAGGAAACAGAAAGACTTGCAGTTTTGCAGTTTAACAGTAACCAACTTTGTATACTTTGTACGAACAAGTTTTCATTGAATTTTTCTGACATTCTGTGAAAATAGTGTTTTGCAGTTGAGGAAACTGAAGCACAGGTTAAGTAACTTGCGTGAGGTCACATAGCTAGTATTGATAAATTACATTTCTCAAGTTTGAACTCAGGCAGGCTTATTCCAGAGTTGTGAGCTGTTACCTTGCCTCCCTAAATACCATGCTCATAGTTCAGTGCCTCCCCAAAGGCTTTACAAGTTGCCTGCCTTCCTAACTCCAGGACTCAGCTCTACTCAGACCTCATCTGAGATGTCATCCTAGAACCACCCTGTTCCTCCTTAGCATTAGCACGTTCGTGCTTGTTCTGTCGCTTAGTTGTGTCTCTGTGACCCCATGGGCTGTAGCCCGCCAACCTCCTCTGTCCATGCAATTTCCCAGCAAGAGTACTGGAGTGGGTAACCATTTCCTTCTCCAGGGGATCTTCCCAACCCAGGGATCAAAGCCTGGCCTGCATTGCAGATGGCTTCTTTACCATCTGAACCACCAGGGAAGCCCATTACCAGGTTATACCTAGCTTAAAACCCTCCAGTATCTCCTCACTGCACTTAAATAAAAAGCTAAACTTCCTGTGGCCTACAAGGCACCACATGTCTGGTCTGTGCTTTCCCTCTGACCTATGCTTGTACTATGCAACCCTACCTCCAGCCCTCAGGCCCACACTGCCAGGTAGAGGGCCCTGGGAGAGGCCTTGGCCTTTGCCTGAATCATCCTGTCTCCCTATCTTGAGCAACCACCTTGTGGTCACTGCCCACCCCCATTACTCTCACATCACCCTGTTACATTGTGCTGGTAGTATTATTACCAAAAATATTTGCTTACTTGTTGTCTCTCCACAGTAAGATACACGCACACGCACACACACACACACGTACATATATATATATATACACACATACTCCATGAGTTACATCCTCAGCCTAAAATAGCCACTAAGCCACTCAGGCCCTGGATAAATTCTAGTTGAATAAGTGAATTATGAAGAATGCTTATCACAAAAAAACAAAGGAAAAAAAAGTGCTTATCACATTGCATTATAGTTTTATATTCCCTCTCCCCAACCCAAGGGGCTTCTCTGATGGCTCAGTTGGTAAAAGAATCCACCTGCAATACAGGAGACCCTGGTTCAATTCCTGGGTCGGAAAGATCCACTGGAGAAGGGATAGGCTACCCACTCCAGTATTCTGGCCTGGACAATTCCATGGACTATAGTCCAGGGGTTGCAGAGTTAGACACGGCTGAGCAACTTTCACTTCACTTCCCCACCCATAGGATGTAAACTGGAGAACAGGGAATTGTCATTTTTGTAATGGATGCCAGTGCCAGGCACTCAGTAATTGCTGTTGTATAAATATTCTGACTTCCAGCGTGTTATTTACGGCATACAAAAAATTCCTTTTCAGGTCCTGCATCTTCAATATGGAATGTATGTTTGGCCCTGTGCTGTGGTCCTGGCCCAGTACCTGTGGTTTCACAGAGGATCTCTGCCAGGCAAGGCTGTCTTAGAGGTAAAAGTGCCCTTGAGGTTTGCATAAATCCTAGATTATAAATCTGTATGCTGGTTATTGGGTTTTGTTAGATATTTTTAAGTCAGGGATGATGTGCGCAGCCTCCATGGGAGGTGAGTTAAAAACACTTTTTAAAGTGTAAGTGAAACCCATTGACTAATCTTAAGGAATCTTGGTGTGGAAGCAGTCTTTGAGGCCATCTTTCTGGGGTGTCCCAACAGGGTCATCCAGGCTCTGCTATACCACTGCAGCCTTTCTCAAAAAATGGCTTTCATCTTTGGAGATCTTGAGGTTAGTTTTGAGATGTATCCGGTGCTTTCTCACTACTCCACCTGGCTTAAGACTGCTGAAGGCTTACAGAAGTAAACTTAAGTCATTTGCAGAAATGGTATGCTTAAACCCCAAGGCTGAAGACAAATCAGCTTAAGGACACCTCCTAACTTTTGCAAAAGCATATAAATGAAATGAAGGAATTTGGTGCATAATTTGGGCTCAAAGTAGTGATGGTTTTTAGCTACTCAAAAAAGGTCTGGAATCTCAGTGTTGATCCTTGAACAGGAAGCATGTTTCAATCCATAGCAATAGTAATGTTTATGAAGGGGCTTCTTGGTATTATGCAAAGTGAGTATGTTTAAGCTCTTTGTTGCTCTAAAGACCCAACTGGAAAAAAAAAGACCCAACTGGAAAAATCCCCTCTAAAGTCAAGTCATGCTATAGACCTTTGAGGCTTTAGCCATTTAAAAGCTATTTAAAATTTAGTAACTTAATAGCTGGTTGTACATTCAAGTCACCCACTGAGCTTCTAGAGACCTGGTGTAATTAGGAACTCCTTATAGATCATGAGAACTAAAAGTGACTGAAGGTCACTATAGTGCTATAATGCCCTGGACATCCTAAACAATGGAACTGCTCAAGATATGCTCCTATTTGGAAATGGCTGATCCTTTAACAGCTCAGTGATTGGAGGACCCACCCTCCACAAAACTGAAAATCCACATAAAATAAGTGGTTGTTCCATCCCAGACTCAGCTGGATTGCAGAGTCCTAGTTACACACCCTCCCAGTTCGAGCCTGTAGTTGCAGAGTTGAGGGCCCTTTAAAATGCTTAAATAGACCAACTCCTGACCCAGTTAGAACTATCATGACAAGTTTAAAGGAAGCTCCACATAGTAAACCAGTGTTGAATGATGGTGTTTTATAGACATGGAAAATTCAAATTTACACATTGACACTGTACTTAAAGGCCAGTGCAAGCATGAAATGAGAACTATTTGCCAAGATCCACAGCTTGTTGCAGTTCTAAGCAAAACCTTTAAACTTGTTATTAGATTGGTGCTGGAGTGAGCCTTCCAGGAATTGTGGCTGCAAAATGTGGTGCTGAAGTTACACTGTCAGACAGTTCAGAGTTGCCTCACTGCCTAGAAATCTGTCGGCAAAGCTGCCAAATGAATCATCTGCCTCAGGTCCATGTTGTAGGACTCACGTGGGGTCATGTATCTCGGGACCTTTTGGCTCTACCACCACAAGACATTATTCTTGCATCTGATGTATTCTTTGAACCAGAAGGTAAATCTTTTCTTCTCAGTATTCAATTTAACCAGAGATACAATGGAATTAAAAGTTTATTAAGAAGTCTTTTCTTCCTAGACTTTGAGGACATTTTAACTACAGTTTACTTTTTGATGCAGAAGAACCCCAAAGTCAAATTGTGGTCTACTTACCAGGTAAGAAGGTAAGCTGGTGCACTGGGAAGACCCAGAGGGATGGGATGGAGAGGGAGGCAGGAGGGGGGATCGGGATGGGGAGCACATGTAAATCCATGGCTGATTGATGTCAATGTATGGCAAAAACCACTACAATATTGTAATTAGCCTCCAACTAATAAAAATAAATGGGAAAAAAAAAGGGTAAGCCTGAATAATCCTGGTTTACTCCCAGTTTTATTAAAAGTTAACAAGCCTTACTACTCATTCAGTGTCTAACTTAAGGATAAAATGAGAACATATCTAAAGCAAAACAAGAAAAACTCAGTTTTTAAAAGTAATTTATTTTTTCAGTGCTGACTGGTCACTTGAAGCTTTGCTCTACAAGTGGGACATGAAATGTGTCCACATTCCTCTGGAATCTTTTGGTGCAGACAAAGATGATATAGCAGAATCTGCCCTTCCAGGAAGACATACTGTTGAAATGCTGGTCGTCTCCTTTGCAAAGGACAATCTGAATTACACCTAAAAACTGTTTTGGGACAATGTCAATACTGCTTAGCAACCTGGCAAGACAACTATGTGACTCAGGCCATTTCAGCTTCTTGAGTACAGTGGGTTTGAAGATGGTCAGATCTGCTGGCTTTAGATTGTGATGGGTCACATAACTATTAAGACAAAAATTAAAACTAAGAAAAAGGACCTGGATTGTTCCTAAATTATTAAAATAGGGCATATATTAGGTTATAAGAAGGGGGGTATTCAACTTTTAACAAAGTGCTACCTTAGAGCATTGAGAGTGGGTGCTGAACTACCATTTCCACTTTTTAACTTGGGGGGGGGGGTGGGAGGGGGCAGAAATCAACTACCAAACATTCACTTTCATTCTATACAGTCAGTAACATTCACAAGGTAATTGCACAGGTCTTTCAAATAAATGGGAGGGGAAAAAAGACCAACACATATTCTGAGAAAAGCTAACACCAAGAAAACGTTTTAATTAAACTACAGAAACAATGGCTATAGTACAGAATATTCATGAGCAAAAAGATACACCATGTTATAAGTACTTACAAAATTACAAACCATTTGTTTGCTTCCTTAACATTTTCCATATTTTAAGTTCATACATGAAGATGATCAGATTTACCACTTTGGGGGGAAGAAGAAAAAAAAAAAAAGGTGTATTTATCATCGCTAGATGTGCTCACTGTATGCTCCATTATTTATATGCAAGGCCCGGGTGACTGGAAGTGCAGTTGTCAGGCATTTTAATAAACTGGACAGCCATTTGTTTCTGCACGACAAGGCATCTTTACACAGGAGCAATCAGGAGAAAACAGGAAACAGCCAAGCACTCTGCACTGCAACACGCCACCTTAACAGCTAACCAGCATTACTCAACTGCTACACAACTGCGCCTAGTGCACAAAAATACATAAGAGAAGAGATTAGAATTGTGTTTGGTAAACAATTCTTCCCAAAAAAATAAAAATCAAGTCTTTTCACCTGAAAAGTCTTTATACAAATTTGGGTTCTGTTTACCATTTAGACCTGAAGGTAAATAACATATACAAATAAATTTACACCAACTTTTGTAGGTTTTTAATTTTAAGGTAGGAAGGCAATGTTGAGTCAATCTCTTGACAGCTTTAGGCTGTGTGTAATGGCTGCACACGTTTCCTTAAAAGTCAGGAGGCCACAAATTAGGTTACCAATCTGTTTAATTCCAAACAAAAAAAGTCAGCACTATATAAACAAAAAGGAAAATTTACCTCAAATATCCAAGTCAATAATGAAATCTGAAGTCGTTCACCTTACTAAATTACAAGAAATTTGAATAACAGCAAAAAAATGGCACATAAAATGAATTTGCCACCTGAGGCAAAGCTTAAAACAAGTAAAAAGTTAGACAAAATGTTACAAAATAACCTTTTCAATAGCCAGTTGCTTGTTCCAAGGACTCTTCTGATGGACTGAGTACTACCGAGTAAGTGGTCCTTCCCCCAAGTCCTCCTTTATGTTGCTTGTCGACACATCTAGGTTTGAAAAGAAACAAGCTCAGTTTACCTTCCATTATAACAAAATCACCAAAAGTGCACATGGTTTCAATTTCAGTACTTACTAAGGATCTGGTGAAACCAATAGGTTACAGAAAGGTTCCAACCAGCCATTATCCGTTTTTTTAAGGCCCAATTAGGAAAATTTCACAAAGGTTACCATCAGCACTAAAAACGTGTGTTTATGTTATGTATCCATGGCCAAATGACCAAGGTGAAAAATGGTAAGGGGGGAAAAAGAAAAAAGGGAAAAAAAAAAAAAGGAGGGGGAAAGGGGTTGGGCTGTATCCAAACAAAACAATTAGTCAATATATTTTAAGTTTTTAGTTTTCAAATGAAACCATTGGCATTTTAGAATGCTTTAACATCTGAGCTACTTAGGGCCCTTTCCTTTTAAAAAATAGGACCAAACAATTTGAGAGTTAAAGACACACTATCCTTTCCCCACCCAGTGCAATCAATACCTGTAAACTTTTGGTTCCAAAAGTTCATTGCTTCTTTTTCGCAATTTTGCCACATCCATTAGAATATGAAGTCCCAGTCAGTACAACAATAGTTGAACTGATTGTTTTCTCTAAGAGGATAGTGCATCTTTAACATTTAAAGACAAACCTGCTCCAATACACGCCCACAGAAACTGGTCCCTGGAGGATCAGCCAAATCAGTTAAAATCTGCAATACTGGCCAATATTCTTTTATCAAACAGGAGACCGCAGCTTTAAAGGGGAAAATGCAGACGTTGGATAAAAACAGCAAGAAATAGTCATTTTCATTAATAGGTCTCAAAACAGTTCACGAAACAGCCATTATCTAAGCTTTATACACATCCTTTCTGCAGACCCCTCTTCAGTATAACTCCCAAAGCTGAGTTAGCTCAGAGCAGTACTCCTAACATCAGGAGCCATTTTTATGTTAATACGGAACAAAACTACTCCAAACCCCATTTCTGAATTCGGGCCGTGACGTCTCGGAGTCGCGCAAACCTTACCATTTGCTTAAGAGGACACCGCTCCTTCCTCTTCTGGAGACTTGGGAGGACTCTTGGATCGCGACCTGGATTTGGATTCCCTCTTGGACACGGGTGGAGGACTCCTGGACCTAGACCTGGATCTGGATCGCGAGCGAGATCTGGAGACCGACGAGGACTTGGACTTGGATCTTCGCGCCGATCTGGACTTGGAGGTGGATCGCGATCTTGAGCGAGTGCGGGACCGCGACTTGGAGCGGCTGTAGCGAGATCGACTCCGGGACCTGGACCGGCTCCGACTCCGTGATCTGCTGCGGCGACGCCGCCTAGGGCTGCGGACAGGGACGGCGGCGCGTCAGGGTTCGGCGGCCCCGCCCGCCCAGGCCGCCATTATCTCGCCGCCAGACGCCCAGACGCCATTTCCCTGGTCGCGAGCCCGGGTCCCCGCCCTCCCGCGCCCCGCCGACTCGGCCCGACCGCCACCACGTGTTCCCGTAGGCCTTTGTGAGTCAGCCAGGCCCTCCCGGAGCCCTGGCCGCGACGCCCGCCTGCTTACCTGCGGCTCCGACGTCCGTAGCCGCCGCCCCCGTACCTGCGGGGCGGGGGGCCCCGGCGGCTATGGTGTGAATCCGGGGGGCGGCCGTAGCGCGCCATCTGCACCCGCAGCTCGCGGCCGTCCAGTACGGCTCCGTCCATGGCATCCATGGCGTCCTCGGCGTCGCGCTTGTCGTGGAAGCGGACGAAGGCGAAGCCGCGGGACTCCTTGGTGTAGCGGTCCCGCGGGATGTACACGTCGCCGACGCGCCCGTATTTCTCGAACACGCGCCTCAGGGTGTCGGGCGAGGTGCGGTAGGTTAGGTTATCCACCTTGAGGGAGGTCATGCCCTCCACATCGGGAGGCGGGCGACCGTAACTCATGGCTCTGGAGAGTCGGGCCGGGGCTGCGCGCCGACGAACTAATGCCCCGGCGGGCCCGCGCGCTCGGCTGCAGCGGCAGCGGTTTCCTCAGGTTAGCTCGGCTCGACGCCGCGCCTCTTTCCTGGCGGTTGGTTTCCGCGTGGAGACGTTTGGAAAGGTGGAACTTGAAAACTCTATAAGAGACGAACCCGACCGACTCCACCAGAGAAGCAACTGGGCCGGCGCCGGCTGCAGCGCCCGTTTATATCCCTCCTCACAAAATGGCGCCCGCGCCACCCGGAAATGAATCTTCTGATTGGCTCATCTCACCCCGCCCCTCAACGTCCCTGCCGCGCGCCCCGCCCCTGTCCGGCGCGCTTGCGCAGAGTCGGCGGGCGGGTGGAAAAGCGCGGAGTCACTGTTGCTGGGAGGGGGAGCGGGATTGGCTGGCAGTTGGAAAGCCCGCGAAACGCTCCTTCCGGCTGCGAGGCCCGTTGTGACAGGAGGAAAGGGAGGGGCTCCCCTGCTGGGCTCCGCCTTCTTTTCTTGCCAGTTTCTAATCTCGCAGCTTGCTGTTGGGATGTCAGCCCTCTCTCGGTAGAGGGGTATACCTTCACCTTGCCCCTCTGTGTTTCCGTCTCCTCAGACCAGCTTCGCGGCCTCCAGGCCTCCTTCCTCAATTCCTGGCTCCTTCGCTGGGTTCCGCTTTTTAGCCCCCGCCTTCCCGGAGCCCTCGAGGTCCGCCCTGCTCCCTCCGAGCGGATGCGGGAGCCCTAGCCGCGAGCTTGCGCTTCCCCGGCCGCCTTGGACTACAATTCCCAGTGAGCCCAGCGGCCGGCGCCTCGGCTGCGGTCAGGTGACCGGGTCGCCTGACCTGAGGTGAGTCAGGGCTAGGCGGCGGGGCCTTACCGGCTGCTGCATCTCGCCCTTGACTCCTGATTCTCTCTTGGCTCCTCAACTTGTGGCAGCAGCGTTCTTTGCTTTTCTCAGGGTGTTGGGTCCTTCCCTACTCGAATCGTGTGTTAGGAAGGTCCTACCTAAGCCTGTGGGGAGAACATCACCCTAAGCCCCGGACTCTACTCCAAGACCTGGAAGTTGACAGCTTGGCTGCCCTGCTCCTGGATCTGCCTCCTCTCACCATCTCATTTCTTCTTCCAGGATTGCAGTGGGTTCGCCTGGAGGAGAGTTGTCTGACTGCCCTGGGCTACTGCTGACCTCCAGCAGAGTTGAGCCAAAATGTCCCCGGAGTCTAAAAAGCTTTTCAACATTATTATTTTAGGAATTGCCTTTATGTTTATCTTCACCGCCTTTCAAACTTGTGGAAATGTAGCGGTGAGTTGTACTCTGTTCTCCCTCCTTTGCAGTGCTTGTCATAATGCATTCCAAAATTGATAACGTTATGTCTAAAAGTACGCTTAAGTTGCACCTTTTATTTTGTCACCTAACACTTCCTTGTTTTCCATGATAAGATTTGATTTCATGTATCAGACATCTCTTAGTGGGGTCGTTTCTTTCTCTCATTTGATTTGGGGTTTATATGTTGACCTATTTATTTGTTATCTGTATTAAGGACTGTATTAGTACTTGGACAGTTAAGAGAATAAACGTAAAGCCTAGTTACAGATGGTCTTCAGCCCTCCCCACCTGACCTGCCCGCCCTTGGTTTGCCTTCCGTTCTGTAGTCCTTTCTCTTCTCTCCTGTTGGGATTTCTGTATTAAGTATCCAGCATCTTGAATTTTTACTTTATTCTCATTACTAGGAGACAGATTTTCTGGGGTGGGGGGAGGGAGATTACAAAACGTCTTCATTGATTAGTTTTATTTTCCACACAGCAAACTGTCATCAGGAGCTTAAATAGTACAGATTTTCACGGCAGTGGATATACCAGGTATCGTACTGTGTGATTGGTTCTACTTTGTATATTCTAGAAATTGCTTAAACTTCCTCAGTCACACACAACATAAGATATGATTGGATTTTTTTTTCTTCTCTGTATCTAGACTGTTTAGGGGAACATAATGTGATAAAGGTGATGAGTTTGGGTTTCAAGTAGAATTAAACACTGAGTTTGAAATACAAGATTCAAAACTTAATTGCTGTGATATCTTAGGAAATTGCTTCTATGTGCTCAGTTTCCTTGCTCAGGTTAATGTGTGTAAAGCGCTTAGCACAGTAGCTGGCATTTAATAAGCACTCAGGTATTGTCATAATTATATCTTCCCAATCCTAAACAGACGATGTTTTATAAGACTCTTGAAATATTTGTTGGTCTTCCTGTTTTTCTGATTTCATAATTATTAATATACTGTCATCAGGAGCTTTTAGATTTCTGTTAAGATGTTTAGTGGCAATTTTACAGGTGGAGAAAATGAAGTGAAAAGCTCTTCATAGGTCACTAGTACATTGTGATTGAAGTTGGGAATGTCACTCATACATGTATATAAACACAAACAGATTTCTTAAGAAATTTCTCTGTGGTTAAATGTTAGATTGTGGTCAGCTCCCCCTCCCACCCTCCCCAACTCTTCTTATTTGGTTCTTTGTTATCTAACCTAACCTTTGTTATCTGACCTTATGTATAATACTTGAGAGTAAAACAATGTTTAATGCCCATTTTTCTAAGTGACTAATAATAACATCCGGAGAAGGCAGTGGCACCCCACTCAAGTACTCTTGCCTGGAGAATCCCAGGGATGGGGAAGCCTGGTGGGCTGCTGCCTATGGGGTCGCACAGAGTTGGACACAACTGAAGTGACTTAACAGCAGCAGTAATAACATCACAATTTTCACTAATGTGTTTTCTTCATATATATTGTAAAGAACAGGTGAAAGAACCACTGGTATTTGAGAAATTCATAAAAGCCAAAGAATAATTTACTTTGGATTTATAAATAGTGGCTTATAAACTTTTGAAATGGTCTTAGTCACACTTGGCTACATATATAATGGGACCAGGTCTGTAGTAGCTGAATAATGTTCAAGTGAACCATTCAGTTCAGTTCAGTTCAGTCGCTCAGTTATGTCTGACTCTTTCCGACCCTGTGAATCGCAGCACGCCAGGCCTTCCTGTCCATCACCAACTCCCGAGTTTACTCGAACTCATTTCCATCGAGTCAGTGATGCCATCCAGCCATCTCATCCTCTTTCGTCCCCTTCTCCTCCTGCCCCCAATCCCTCCCAGGATCAGAGTCTTTTCCAGTGAGTCAGCTCTCCGCATCAGGTGGCCAAAGTATTGGAGTTTCAGCTTCAGCATCAGTCCTTCCAATGAATATTCAGGACTGATTTCCTTTAGGATGGACTGGTTGGATCTCCTTGTATGCAGTCCAAGGGACTCTCAAGAGTCTTTTCCAACACCACAGTTCAAAAGCATCAATTCTTTGGCGCTCAGCTTTCTTCACAGTCCAACTCTCACATCCAACATGACCACTGGAAAAACAATAGCCTTGACTAGATGGACCTTTGTTGGCAAAGTAATATCTCTGCTTTTTAATATGCTCTCTAGGTTGGTTATAACTTTCCTTCCAAGGAGCAAGCGTCTTTTCATTTCATGGCTGCAATCACCATCTGCAGTGATTTTGGAGCCCCCCAAAATAAAGTCAGCCACTGTTTCCACTGTTTCCCCATCTATTTCCCATGAAGTGATGGGACTGGATGCCATGATCTTAGTTTTCTGATTGTTGAGCTTTAAGCCAACTTTTTCATGCTCCTCTTTCACTTTCATCAAGAGGCTCTTTAGTTCTTCACTTTCTGCCATAAGGGTGGTGTCATCTGCATATCTGAGGTTATTGATATTTCTCCTGGCAATCTTGATTCCAGTTTGTGCTTCTTCCAGCCCAGCATTTCTCATGATGTGCTCTGCATATAAGTTAACTAAGCAGGGTGACAATATACAGCCTTGACATACTCCTTTTCCTATTTGGAACCAGTCTGTTGTTCCATGTCCAGTTCTAACTGTTGCTTCCTGACCTGCATATAGGTTTCTCAAGTGAACCATTACGTTAAGTTAAATAGATTCTGGTTTAAGCAAGTTATAGTTATGTGATTATTTATAGCAGTGAGATTTCATGCCACTGCCGGGAGTTGTCAGCTGAATCTGTAGGGCAGGCTGGTTGATGAGGGCCTCTAGAGTCAGATTCCCAGGGATGAGATTCTGGTTCCACTATTGACTAGCTGTCCAGCTGCACTTTTGACAAGTTTTTTGACCCCTCTATATTTCACTTCTCTTTTCCATAAAAAATAATATGTTCTTCATGGGGTTCTGTTAGCTGCTATAATAATTCACTGATAAATTAAAAATCACATTGTCTAAGGCAGACTGACACTTCTCAATTGCCAAGACTTCAGTATTTTGAACAAGTGAAAACTTTAATGTGACATTCAGCAAAAGGCTGTAGTTATAAATTCTGACTAAAGAATATGAATGGTTATTGCAAAAAAAAAAAAAAACCCAAACTGTAGACTCTAATTAGGTTTGAGAAAAATTGAGCTTAGCTTTAAGACAGTGTTTCAAGAGTTTTGTTTTTTTCCTTTTTGTATGTTATGTGTGCAGCATGGCAATTATTTATGGAGTGTTCTCTGCTTCAAATTTGATTACACCATCAGTGGTTGCCATTGTAGGACCTCAACTCTCTATGTTTGCTAGTGGTTTATTTTACAGGTAAGTAATCCGGTTTTCTTTCATTTAATTAGAATGCCTTCACCTTCTTTCAAGCACATAGTAAGCTTGTGCTTTGAACTTGCTGACTTGGTTGGAATAGATTATAGGTAGTATTTTAAAGGTTTGGCTCTCTACTTGATAATTAGCAATACTATTGTTTTAAAGTAATGGGATTTGTATATGTTTGCTTTCCTTTTGCCACTAATATACATAATATCCAAAAACCTCTTTCTGTAGGCTTGAAAAGAACTCAGGTAATAATCTTATTTTGTATCAAGTAGATTAATGGTAATTAAATTTCTTCTGGGCTACAGAACTGTAGTCCCACTGTGTGCTGAGCTCTTTGGTGAAGGCCAGTCGCAAATCTTTATTCAGTGACTGAGTTCACAAATTTGAAATAGTAAGTTAAGAAATGACACTTGTCTACTTTTTTCCAACACTGGAAAAGCCCTTTACAGCTTGAATTTTGAAAGAAGAGATCCCTCAGAATTGATTCCTAGAAGGCATAATTGACATTCTGTTTCAGGTATTGTTTGACTGTAATACGTTGACCTGTTATATTTTAGCATGTACATTGCCGTTTTTATCCAGCCTTTCCCGTGGTCCTTTTACACAGCCTCTGTTTTCATTGGAATTGCAGCTGCTGGTAAGCATTTTGATTTCTTTCTATTTTCTGAGTCTAAGAGTATTGTTTATATGTTTAATATATAAAGCTAAATGCTTTCATTCCCTTGATAAACTTTTGATTTGAATTTTAGTACTTTGGACAGCACAAGGAAACTGCCTGACAATAAATTCAGACGAGCACACCATTGGGAGAAACAGTGGAATTTTCTGGGCACTCTTACAGTTTAGGTAATAATTCTTATGGCTCCATCTTTCCTATAATTTTTTTTTGTTGTTCAGACCTTTTTTTTAGATCCCGATTGTGTTGAGAACTCAGATCTTCTTTTTACGTGAGTTAAGTTCCTAGGTACATGTCATAGAGATTTAAAGTTTTATGGGATTATTTAAAGATGCATGGATCTACCTCCTTAAAATTTATGATTAGCAAATGGAAAATAATATTAGCCATAATGTATGTAGCATCTGCTATACTTAGGTAGCTCACTGGTAAAGAACCTGCCTGCCCATGCAGATTGGGTTCAATCCTGTGGAGCAAGGTATGACACCCACTCCAGTATTGCCTGGAGAATACCAGTGAACAGGGGAACCTGACAGGGTCCATAGGGTCACAAAGAGTCAGATAGGACTGAAATGACTTGGTAGGCATGCATACTTTATACATACCTTAGGTACTACTGGGCTCTTTAATCTCAATAATAGTTACAATCTCCTGTGATAAGAAGGTATTATCTCCATTCTACAGATTAGATAACAAAAACTTAACTAAAAGTTAAGTAACTTATCCAATCATGTGGATTCCAAAGGCCATGTCCTTCCCACCCAGTTATGCTACTTGACAGCTGTTAACAATTAAATTTTCATAGACTAACTCTATGGACACTGAAGGATACAGTATGTTATATACTTCCTCAGTAAAAAGCAACAACAGGCATTCTGTCATGGAATCTGTCCTGAGGATTTACCCCCACATCCTAAATGCCTAAAATTTTGGCTTTGGTAAAGCTTAGCAAAAAAAGAAATGCAAAAAGGCAAAATGGTTGTTTGAGGAGGCCTTACAAATAGCTAAGAAAAGAAGAGAAGCTAAAGGCAAAGGAGAAAAGGAAAGATATAGCCATTTGAATGCAGAGTTCCAGAGAATATCAAGGAGAGATAAGAAAGCCTTCCTCAGTGATCAGTGCAAAGAAATAGAGGAAAACAATAGAATGGGAAAGATTAGAAAATTAGAGACACCAAGGGAACATTTCATGCAGAGATGGGTGCAATAAAGGACATAAATGGTATGGACCTAACAGAAGCAGAAAATATTAAGAAGAGGTGGCAAGAATAAACAGAAGGACAATACAAAAAAGATTTTCATGACCCAGATAACCACGATGGTGTGATCACTCACCTAGAGTCAGACATCCTGGAATGCAAAGTCAAGTGGACCTTAGGAAGCATTACCAGCACCTATCTCACACACTAGCGAAGTAATGCTCAAAATTCTCCAAGCCAGGCTTCAACAGTATGTGAACCATGAACTTCCAGATGTTCAAGCTGGATTTAGAAAAGGCAGAGGAACCAGAGGTCAAATTGCCAGCATCTGTTGGATCATTGAAAAAGCAAGAGAGTACCAGAAAAACATCTACTTCTGCTTTATTGACTATGCCAAAGCCTTTGTGTGGATCACAACAAACTGTGGAAAATTCTTAATGAAATGGGAATACCAGACCACCTGACCTGCCTCCTGAGAAATCTGTATGCAAGTCAAGAAGCAACAGTTAGAACTGGACATGGAACAACAGACTGGTTCCAAATCGGGAAAGGAGTATGTCGGCTGCATACTGTCACCCTGCTTATTTAACTTAAATGCAGAGAAATCCTGGACTGGATGAAGCACAAGCTACAATCAAGATTGCCGGGAAAAATGTCAATAACCTCAGATATGCAGATGACACCACCTTTATGGCAGAAAGCGAAGAAGATTAAAGAGCCTCTTGATGAAAGTGAAAGAGGAGAATGAAAAAGTTGGCTTAAAGCTCAACAATCAGAAAACTAAGATCATGGCATCCAGTCCCATCACTGCATGGCAAATAGATGGGGAAACAGTGGAATCAGAAACTTTATTTTCTTGGTCTCCAAAATCACTACAGATGGTGACTGCAGCCATGAAATGAAAAGACACTCCTTGGAAGAAAAGCTATGACCAACCTAGACAGCATATTAAAAAGCAGAGACATTACTTTGCCAACAAAGGTTCATCTAGTCAAAGCTATGGTTTTTCCAATAGTCATGTATGAATGTGAGAGTTGAACTGTAAAGAAAGCTGAGCGCCAAAGAATTGATGTTTTTGAACTGTGGTATTGGAAAAGACTCTTGAGAATCCCTTGGACTGCATGCAAGGAGATCCAACCAGTCCATCCTAAAGGAAATCAGTCCTGAATATTCATTGGAAGAACTGATGCTGAAGCTGAAACTCTAATACTTTGGCCACCTGATGCAATGAACTGACTCACTGGAAAAGACCCTGATGCTGGGAAAGATGGAAGGTGGGAGGAGAAGGGGACAACAGAGGATGAGATGGTTGGAAGGCATCACTGACTCGATGGACATGAGTTTAAGTAAGCTCCAGGAGTTGGTGATGGACAGGGAAGCCTGGCATGCTACAGTCCATGGGGTTGCAAAGAGTTGGACATGACTGAGCAACTAAACTGAACTGAAGGCTTAACAAATACGAATATTGTTTTAAGGGGTTGTATATTAAGAAACTGGAGTGTAAGTGAATGATTTCTTCCCTGTTGCTGTTTAGTCGCTCAATCCTGTCTGACTCTCGTGACCCCAAGGACTGTATCCCTGCCAGTCTCCTCTGTCCATGGGATTTCCCAGGCAAGAATACAACAAAGGAGTGGGTTACCATTTCCTTCTCCAGGGGATCTTCCCAACCCAGAGATAGAATCTGCGTCTCCTGCATTGGCAGGTGGGTTCTTTACCACTGAGCCATCAGGGAAGCCTGATTTTTTCCCTAGGAAAGTGCTAAATAAAGTATTTGATTAGATGCAGTTAACTAAATCATTGATCTTTTCACCAATTCTTTAAAATACAGAATTTTAGAGGTAGAGTAAACTTGTTTCCTGGGTGTCATTTCCAGACTCCAATAAATCACATGTTTCAGTGAGTCAGGTCTTTGGAGGCCAGTGCTGAATCAGGTTGCTGTCAGGTGGAAGGAGACTTAAGTTCCCTCTGGGTCAGTTGAGTTTTTCAGAAAGAGGGTGAAGTCGATACTTTTAAATGACTTAGGGCAGATAGAGAACTTCTTTAGGTCTCTCTCTCTCTTTTTTTTTTTAACAAGGAATGGAAAAATTATTTTAAAGCCCATAAATATGAAAATAACTTCCCAACGTCCTCTCCTTCCTTTTCTTCCCCCAGCTTGTTCTTTGGAAATCTCTACATATATTTTGCTTGGCAAGGGAAAACTCAGATATCAGGTTTGTTTTATTCACTGTGCTTTATTCAGATACATTCAAAGCAAAATAGCAGTTCCATGAAAATTCCCAGTATGCTTGGTTCAGATTGTTCTAGTGAATGTTGGTACTCTAAGTCCTCTTAGATTTTTGCTTTTAATATCTTCCCTTGGATTATATTATTATGCTAGGATTTACAGCTTATGACTGTGCTTCAAGTAGCGTCTCAAAGTGTGGGAGAAGGTTGTGTATGTGTGGGTAGACTAATCAGTTGTCAAAAGAGATTTTAATTCAGTTGTTTTGTCTATACTCTGATTAAAAGAATACGATTAAGTTCTTATGCTGTTTTTCTTTTGGCTTATTAGTATTTCTCTAACTGAGAGACAGAGGTAGATGTATCCTATTTATTTCTTTGTCCTAGGATTTACTGATGCAGTAAAGTAAAATTAGTAATAACGTATGTGAATAGTTATAAACAAAATACTGAACATGATACTGACTCTGGAATTGTGTGGTTAGTGCTATCTACTTTCATCTTCTTTTTTCTCCCTAGAGAGTGACCGAAGAACAGTGTTTATCGCACTAACGGTGATTAGCCTTGTGGGGACAGTACTTTTCTTTCTCATTCGGAAACCAGATTCTGAAAATGTCCTGGGAGAAGATGAATCTTCTGATGACCAGGACTTGGACATCAACGAGTAAGAAGTTGGAAACGTTCCTTTCTATTTTAAACTATATTTTGAATAGGTACAGGCCAGAAATTACAAACCTGTTATAGCCCTAACTGATATCCAGTATTGGGCAGACATGAGGGGAAAATTTTAGAGCAAATAAGCAGAGAAAGAAGATAAAGAGGAGCTGTCAGGGAGGAAAAGAGAAAGGAAGATAGACAGAGGTGGAGGAGGTAGCTAAAAGGGTTGTGGAGGGATTTTAGTCTCATCCCAAGTCACTTCCTGTGTGACCCTGGACAGTAGCAATGTTCCCCTGACTTTCTCTAGGCCTCAGTTTCCTCCTTCAGTTCAGCAGACATTTTCTGTGTTTTAATGTGTGAGGATATGGGCTCATAAAGTTAAATAGAAAATAGTCCTCAGTCACTTTCTTGGATCCAGGCTTAAAATTTTCCTATCGTGTGGTACAAGTAAGTAGCAAGGCCGCCAGCAGTCATCATAGATGAACCGTGGTTAGCCCCGTGCTCTGGATTTTGCACTAACCTATGATGGTAGTTTCCACTGACATAATCCCTGCAGGGAAATGAGTACATAGTCCTGTTTTTCTAAATATTGTGAATAACCTTGAGCATATTTCTTATGTATTTGGCTGTGCTGGGTCTTAGTTGCAGTGTGTGAACTCTTAGCTGCAGCATGCAGGGTTTTTTAGCTGCGGCATGTGAGTTCTTTAGTTGTGACATGTGGGATCTAGTTCCTGACCAGGCCCTCTGCATCGGGGGCATGGAGTCTTAGCTACCGGACCACCAGGGAAGTCCCATGTTGTTATTATTATTATTATTTTTTTTTACAAAAGTTTATTTTTAAATGTACAGCAGGCTCTAAAACAGCACTTCATTCTAGCTATGGGTGGCAACAGATGTCATGGCTGGAAATCCAGATGTTTAAACAGGAATGGAATTAAGGGCCTTTATTTCCTCAGGCACAAGGAACAGCTTGCTTTTTAACAGATTTCTTCATTCCACTTGTGGCCAGGGGGCTGTTCCCCAAGACCTCTTCTTTCCGTTTCTGCTTGAATGTCTTATCTTCCTCATCCATCCCCTCGGCCTGGTTCTTGGGCTGCTTCAGCGGCTGCTGCTTGCCACCTTCAGGGCCAGACATGGCGCCTTCTGCCCCTTTCCCAGGCCCTGCCACTGAAAGCAGGGGCCTGTTTTAAAAAGTAAAAACTATCTAAAACCTTGCAGGTGATTTCTCTGCAGGTCCTCATCTAGATTTGAAGAAAGGGGAATAAGAAGTCTTTACCACCCTTGTGCTATGTGAATTGATAAATTGTGAAGCTTGTCTTATAGAATTTTATCTGTTGTTAACAATTTTGCATTGAACTTTCTGTGCTGCCTTTTTAAAGCCCCAAAAGGGCCTAAAATTCTCCAGTCACAGGATCATTAAGCATTCAGAATTTGTACTGTTCCAAGCAAAAGAGAGGTGTTCATTTGAGTATACATACGTATATATATCACATATTTTTAAAAGCATAAACCAATGGATATTGGAGAAGAGGTCTCCAAAGATGAATGACACAAACTTAACAAAAACTAACATTCATTCAGCAAATGTTAGGGGCTGTGAAGACAAATACAATCCATCCCTGTGTTCAGGGAACTTCGCTGCTAGACAAGGGATCATGTAACTGTCATAAGGTACAGTGCTGAGTGGTTCTGCTCCGTCTTATAGATCTTTCTCTCCTCCTGAATTGTCTTCCCAGTCTTGAAACTTCTATGTCTTTATTCTATAAAGAGCACCATGCATGCGCCAGCCGTCTTCCAAAGGGTGGGGAAGAAGTAATGAGCAAGACAGAGCAGTCCCTCTTTTTATGAAACTTAATTGGAGAGGGGCTGGTAGTCACCATGCATGGGAAGAAAACAGCAGAATGAGTTCTATAAGACAGTGAGAGAGGGAGAGCTTGCAGACAGCTGGGTGGTGAGAAGGTGTGAAGATCAGCTGATATCTATTGCAACAAGGGCCAGGTGTGGAAGGGAGTGTGGTGTCTGCTGGCGGGCCCGCGGGATGTGCACAGTGCAAGTAGGAGTATCCGCAGCAGACAGAGAGATGATTACATAAGGATATGGCGGGAGTTTGGATTTTATTCTTGGTGTGATCAGAAGGCACTGAGGAAATACGTAGGATCTGATTTTAAAGGATTCCATAAAGGGGAGTCCACTTTGAATGATTTACAGCTGAGTACTAGCTGAGTTGATTATATTTTAATAATAGTCTATGGCGTACAAATCAGTTCCTACTTATTTGGGGCCTGGAGTGTGAAATGGTATATCCACCCTGGTGGCTTTGTGGTAATGAAGCCACCTGCCAAGCAGGAGAGCAGGTTCAATCCCTGGGTTGGGAGGATCCCCTGGAGAGGGCAATGGCAACCTGCTCCAGTGTTCTTGCCTGGGAAATCACAGAGGAGCCTGGCAGGCTACAGTCCACGGGGTCACAAGGAGTTGGACATGACTGAATGGCTAAAACACCACCACCACCACCTGATCTTATCCAAATACAAGGTGAGGGTACTGTCATTAAATGGAGACTACAGAGTATTTGCTTCCAGGGATGGCGTGAGGTGTGTGTGTGTGTTTGTTTTTTTTTTAAATTTATTTTTAATTGAAGGATGGTTGCTTTACAACTATCCTTTACAACTGTAGTTGTGTTGGTTTCTGTCACACATCAGCATGAATCAGCCATCGGTATATATTTGTCCCCTCCCTCTTGAGCCTCCCTCAGGCATGAGTTTTTATGGTGGGGGAGAATGTTTCCTATTGGTTAAAACATACTACCTTTTTTGTGTCAGTAATTTAAGTCAACTGATCTCCTTTAGGTTTTTTCTTAGGTTTGTTTGTTTGCAAATGATATCTTTTCAAGATCTAGGAGTAGACTTGGCTGATAGGATAAGAAGTGTGATTTCTTACAGAGTTTCTTAGACAACCTGCAGACACTTACCCTTAAGCCACTGTATCTCCTTTCCTTCTCAGGTAAGTGATAGTGTCCCTGTTTTACAAATGAGAAAGGGAAAGAGAGGTGGAGTCACTTGTTTGAAACCACACAACTAACAAGTGGCAAAGCAAGACTCCGCCTCGAAGCCTAGTTTTTAACCAGTCGGTGATACTGCACCCAAACCCACATAGCCAATGATGGTGTTGCTTATAACACTGAAGAACCACAGAGTAATTTTTTACGTAGTTGGAGTGGTGGAAAATTGAGCCCTCACTTTTTGCTTTTACAGTTTAGAAACAGCAGGGTAGAGGAGATTTTTGTCCTGCCTGAAGTATCGTTTCTTTCTTTCCTTTTAAAATTTTTTTCCTTTTTTGGTCTGGGATGGGTCTTTGTGCAGCTTGTGGACTTTCTCTGGTTGTGGCTGGGGCTTTTCATTGTGGTGCTTGGGCTTTTCTTAAACAGGCTGTAGAGCGTGCAGAGAAGTACCATTTCTGAAAAAGACATGCATGACTCTGTGCCGTAAATTTAATGCGAGAGAATCATGTTCTGTGGTTAATAAAGAGCCACCCAAGTAGCACTTTACCCACAGTCTCTGAAGCAAGGACACCTTGGAGCAGGGCGCATTGAGGCCACTGAGGTGTTTACCAGGCCACGTAGAGAACAGAGCTTTTACAGACTTAAATGAACATGTGATAGTTTTTTGGTTTGTTCTCTTTTTCAATTTTCTGGGGAAAAACTTTTTTCTTTTTATCTTTTCAGGTCTCCCCAGAACAACATGACAAAGGCAGTAGATGCATTTAGTAAGTATTTTCTGTATCTGAAGTGCAGGAACTGTTCAGGAACAACTTTCCCCCTTTCTCTGGTAGCTTTGCATTGACAGCACCCCAGTATTTTCACGTTTCTAGGTATGCTGCTCTGAAATCCGCTAGTCTTCTCAATAAGCATCTCTAACAGGCCTGTGAGGGATGGGCGTGTGTGTGAGGGAGGCCCGAGGAGGAGGAGGCAGAGGTTTAGGAGTTTATAGGAGGAGGTGAGGACACAGACCATTTCTTCAGGCATTGCTTGTCACTCCTTGGAACAGAGGGGAGGCTTGGGTGACCCAGTAACGTGTAAGACCAATCACCCTCATCTGTTGAGGGTTCTTCCTTGCTAAACCTCTTGATGTGTTTTATTTCATTCTCATGACAAATCTGTGAGTATCATATAATACATATGTATCATTATCTCCATTTTATAGAAAAGAATACTGAGGCTTGGCAAAATTATTTACTCAAGGTCAAACAGGGAATTTCCTTCTTGTTATGAGAGGCCTAGAAAGACATGTTGGCTTCTTTGGTGAACATGAAGTCAGGCAAAGGGAAGGTGATGACCTTCAGGCGTATGGGCTGGTTTATCCAGCTTCAGTGAGACTTGATGCAACCTATATGCTCTGAACCCCTCTCTGGGTATCTCTTAATATTAACCAGATTCAGGATGTGCTTTCTAGATAGTTGTACCAGCTTTGCCTCAACTTCTCTGTAAAATGAGACACTAATGCAGTGAGGGCCTCAAGCTTTTTATCATGGAGCTGGTTGGTTACTTAGTGTAGGGTTTGGTAGTAATAGGATATTGGGCTGTCAGGCTTGAATGAGGAGAAAGAAGGCAGCAGCTAAAAAAGATAAGGCATATAAGTGCTATAGGGCAAGAAAATTTAAATTTAGGCAATGGTTCCTGGCATTTGGGGAGCAATGTGAAGTTAGGAGGTGGCAATGAAGCCGAAGGCAAAAGAGAAAGGGAAAAGAATGTCCAGGCTTTAATTTGCTTGTGAGCCAGTGTTTCATTTATTATTTAATCATGATATTCCTTTAGTTGATGCTGTAGTAGGTATTGTGCAGAAAGGATTCTTACTTATTTAAAGGCACTTAAGTTCCTCAGCTCAATGTATATATTAATGCAATTCTAGGAAATTTCAATGAGGATTTTTTGGTCCTGATAAAAGGTTCCTCTGGAAGAATAAACATCTGTCAATAGCCAACAGAATTTTTTAAAAGAACTGTCCCTAGTAAATATCAAAACCTATTATGAATTCATTTGAAAACACTGGAATACAGACAGCACTGGAACTGAAGCTAGACCCAGGTCTGTGTTCATAAAGGAATGTGGAATACTGTAAAAGAGTCTTAAAAGCAAGGCCAGACAGCTGACTGCATGGGAAAGTGTGAACTCATACTTCCCATCTTATACTAAAATTCCATGTAGATTAAATGTAAAAATGAAACCATAATAGTAACTGTAAGAAATTAATTTGGTAGAGGAAAGCCTTTCACAGGTCTGTCAAACAGTAAGGGAAAAGTATGCTCTTTTTTACCTAAAATAGAAAATTTCAATCTCTCACAATAATCAAATGAAATTAAAATGGCAGGGAAAATATTTACAGTATATGATAAAAGGTTATGAACCAATAAGAAAGGCATGCATTAGAACTGTGGTGTTGGAGAGAAGACTCTTTTGAGAGTCTTTTGGACTGCAAGGAGATCAAACCAGTTACTCTTAAAGGAAATCGGTCCTGAATATTCACTGGAAGGACTGATGCTGAAGGTGAAACTCTGATACTTTGGCCACGTCATGCAAAGAACTGACTCATTGGAAAAGACCCTGATGTTGGGAAAGATTGAAGGCAGGAGAAGAAGGGGGTGACAGAGGATGAGATGGTTGGATGGCATCACTGACTTGATGGACTTGAGTTTGAGCAATCTCTGGGAGTTGGTGATGGACAGGGAAGCCTGGCGTGCTGCAGTCCATAGGGTCACAAAGAGTCGGACACAACTGAGCAACTGAACTGAAGAAAGGCATAAATACTCCAGTAGAAAAAAGTTATAAACAAAGGAAAGTTATTAAAAACTATAAGAAATGCAAATTAAATTTTCTATTAAATTTCCAAAGATAAATAATTCTCAGTATATAGGCTGTAGGTACTTAAATGCATAAGACCACATTGTTAAAAATACAGTCCTTGTATTACTTTCTGAAGATTGATTTATCAGTAAGAATCAAAAGCCTTAAAAATATTTATCCCTTTACTCCAGCAATTCCACTAATAGGATTATTCTCAGGAAATAATTAAGAATTTTTCCCAAGATTTAGTTACTATTTATATTAGTGAGAAATAGAAATACTTTAAATATTCAACTACAAAGCAGCTATCCAATAGATTACTGCAGCCATTATTACTACAAATGTTATAAAATGTTTGCTTTGTTATATGAAAATAAATTGTAAAACAGTAGTGAAATTTCTTTTTAAAAAGTGTAAAGCCTGGGAGGAGACTCATTAAGGTGTTAGATTATGGTTATTTTCTTTAATAGAATAACTTTATTGAGATGTAATTCACATAGTATACAGCTCACCGACTTATATAAGTATATAATTCAGTGGTTTTTAGTATATTCAGGGAGTTGTGCAGATATCACCAGTCAATTTTAGAACCTATTCAGGTAGTTACCTGGTCTAGTGGTTAGGATTCAGTACACATGTGGCCAAAATTAAAAAAATAATTTAGAACCTAATTATCACCCCCAAAAGAATCTCTACAACTATCAGCAGTGAGTTCCATTTTCTTCCCATTAGTAATCACTTTCCATTTCCTCTCCCAACCCCAACCCCGGCCCTAGTTATCCAGTAATCTACTTTCTATCTACAGATTTGCTGATACTGGACATTTTGTATAAATGGCATCATAGGACTTGTGGTCTTCTGTGATGGGATTCTTAGCATAAGTTTTTTTTTTTTTTTTAGCATTAGTTTTTGTGTGGACATTTGTTTTCAGGTTTCTTGGATGTATACCCAGGAGTAGTGGGCTTGCTGGGCTCTGTGGTATCTCTATGTTAAATCTTTTAGGAACTACCAGGTTGTTTTTCAAAGTGGCTGTACCATTTTACATTCCCACCAGCAATGTACAAAGGTTCCAATTTCTCCACTTTCTAGAGTTATCTTGTTGATTATAGCTATCCTATTAGCCCCCGATGGTTCAGACAGTAAAGAATCTGCCTGCAATGTGGGTGACCCAGGTTCAATCCCTGGGTCAAGAAGATCACCTGGAGAAGGAAATGGCAACCCACTCCAACATTCTTGCCTGGAGAATTCCATGGACAGAGGAGCCTGGTGGGTTACAGTCCACAGGGTCACAAAAGTTGGACACGACTGAGTGACTAACGCTATCCTAGTAGGTATAAAGTGGTTTTTTGTGGCTTTGATTTGCATTTCCCCAATATCTAAGATGTTGAGCATATTTTCATATGCTTATAGGCATTGCATCTCTTCTTTGGAGAAATTTCTGCTCAAATCTTTTGCTCATTTTTTAATTGGTTTATTTGTATTATTGTTATTATTATTATTTTGGCCTCACCATGTGACTTGTTCCCTGATCCTGGGATTGAACCCCAGCCCTCAGCAGTGAAAGTGCTGAGTCCTAACCAGTGAACTGCCAGGGAATTCCTTGTGTTTTTATTATTGAATTGTAAGAGTTCTTTATATATTCTAGATGAAAGTCCCTTATATATAATTTAAAAATATTTTCTTCCATTCTGTAGGTTGATTTTTCTCATTTTCTTGATATCTTTTGAATCATAGAATTTTTAAATTTTTGATGAAGCCTGATTTATCTACTTTATCTTCTGTTGTGTGTGCTTTTGGTGTCCTAGGAAGACTCCAAGTCACAAAGATTTATTCCTGAATTTTTTTTGTAAGAGTTTTACAGTTTTAGCTTTTACATTTTGTTCTGTGATCCATTTTGAGTCAAGTGTTATGGATGTTGTGATGTAGGAATCCAGCTTCATTCATTTTCACGAGATCATTCTAGCACCATTTGCTGGAAATACTATTTTTTCTCCCTTTGAATTGTGTTGGCACCCTTGTTGAAAACAGTTGACTGTGAATGTAGGAGTTTATTTCTCAACATGCCTGTTCTTATTGCCAGTACCATACTGTGTTGATTATTGTAAATTTTGAGTCTTCATCGTTGTTCTTTTTTAAGATTATTTTGGCTATTATCAGTCCCTTGAATTTGCATATGAATTTTAGGATCAGTTTGTCAATTTCCTTAAATAAATTATATTAGGTTTTTGGTTGTGTTTTTTTTTTTGAGAAGTTTTAGGTTCACAGAAAAATTGGCAGTATACAGAGATTTCCCATATATGTCCTGCCCTCACCCATGCATAACCTTCCCCGTGATCGTTGCCCCCCCCACACCCCCCCCCCCCCATCACTGTGGTTACTTTTGTTAACAACTGATGAACGTACAGTGGCTCATCATCTTTGCCTAGAGTCTGTTGTTTACATTAGGGTTCCCTCTTGATGGTGTATATTTTATAGGTTTGGACAAATGTATGAGGACATGAATTCACCATATAGGATCATACTAGATTATTTTTGTTTTTAGGTTATGTTTTAAAATTTCCTTTTGTTAGCTAAATCTTCTGATTACTCAAAAGCAAATATGCTTTGCTAATATGATTTTTCTAATTAAAAATGTTGTTTTAAACTTTATTAATCATGTATTTTTTTTCCTGGAATTATATGAATATGATTGGTGAAAATATCTTACTGATTTTAGTCTCACTTTATTTTAGTGAAATTCAAGAAAAAAGCTATCCTCTTTTGTATATGGAGAAATTCAGGACAGAGTGTCTGTGACCGATGTGAGTTTCTTAGTCATTCACTGAGTAGGAGCTGAAGTCTGAATCTGCCATTACTTTAGGGTCCTGGATAAGTGGCCTTAAATTATGAAATGTGAGCAGGTTCAAAGACAGTTAAAATGTGCAACTTTTAGAAATGCATTTTCCACTGTAGATTTCAACTAAGTTAAACAACAAAAATTAACAATTAAAGGGATCAGAAACAAATGGGCAGAACTAAGGTTTCAGTCCTCAGATCCAGAGACTGAGAATCTCAGGAAGTGGTGGTGTCCCAGCTTGGGGTGGTCAGAAAGCTCTGGGCTGATTCTGATCTTGAGTCCAGCCTTAAAGCTGCCCTGGGACAGTTGCTTGGGGCAAGTTAGCACTTTGCCAACTCTTGACTCTCTAACCTTTAATCAAGTCTGTTGGAATAGTCTGTTGTTTGGTTCTGTTTCTTTTCTCCATTTTATTTGTTTTCATGAGAGCTGGAGAAGGTGTTAGAGAAAACACAACTCTGGAATATATTTAAACAGTTGAAATCAACATTTTATTTACAGGACAGGTTTAGTTCATATGTTAAGCATTTTAATCTGAATCATTAACCTGTGTCCCAGTGTGTCTGTTTACTGGCATTATTGACAACGAGTAATAATGAATTGGTTGAATGAATATTTTAGAATTTTTGTTCAGTTGATTAAAATCTAGTTAAGTACTCCTAAATTTTTTTTCTTTTTTTTTTTTACAGAAAAGTCTCTGAAGTTATGTGTCACCAAGGAGATGCTCCTTCTTAGCGTTACAACTGCTTATACAGGTAACAGAATTAATTACAGTGTTGGTTTTCTGTGACTGCGTAATGACAGTAAATGTTGAAAACAACAACTGTGTTACTTTCTCACAGTTCTGTGCTTTGACCTGTCTCAGCGAAATGGGTTTTCTGATGGTCTCAGTCGGGGTCTCCTGTGGCTGCTGTCATAGTATAGCTGGGGCTGAAACTTCCAAGGTAGTTTCATTTGCACGGCTGAAGGGGTCTAACGCAGGCTGGATCTCCTCGCTCTCCGTGTCTCAGCAGTTATGTGACCCCCTTCCCGTGTTGGTGAAAACAAATCCCAGGGCCAGCCCAAGTTCTGTGAAAAGCAGGAGGCTCGATTCATCTCCAGCAGTGATTTCAGGACAATGTGGAGCACTGCAGACAATAACCATGAGGAAATCTGTGCAGCTTGGGCATGAATTAAGATAATTTCCGATAAAACAGGCTGAATTCTCTGTCTTCCAGTGATAATGGGATGTGGTAATAGGTGGAATAGGCTTAGGTCTTAAGGAAATCTGTTTCCTTGTCAGAAATTGCTGTAATATGTCAATTATTACTTTTGCCTTTACAGTTGACCCTTGAACAGTGAAGGGATGGATTAGGTGTGCTGACCTCCCCTGTGATCAGAAATCTTAGTGTGGCTTTAGCCAGCCCTTTGTGTCTGTGCTTCATGGTCTGCAGTCAGCCAGCTGTGGATCCTGTAGCACTCCAGGGACCTGCACAGTTCAGACTCGGTTTGTTCCAGGTTCAACTCTGTGTGCCCCACAGGTGTAGGCAGAAACATCTTATTGTTAGGTCAAATAGAGTATTAAACATCTTCAAATTCAGGTAAGGTTTTGTGACATTAAGGAATCAGGTCTTCTACTGATTCGCTCTAATTTTTTACCCAAATTTTAAAAATTTCTTTTCCTGGGGAAACATTTAATTAAAACTTTTTCCTTTAAGCAAAAGTAGATAGTAGGTATTTAGTCTTGCAACCATATTTTCCTGTTCCCTTGGAAAGCTAGTAATAAGGATAATGAGCACTTTAGTTTCCCTGTTACAAGTTTATGTTAATTATGTCCTCTGTCCATCCCCTTTCTGTGCAGAGTGACTGTTTTAACATAAGGCTGTCTTTGCTTATTTGAGTTGTACATTCTTATCTGAAATATTCGACAGTTGCCATCTTGTGGCTAATTCCTTTTCATCAGTTGTATCACGTAAAATTACGCTCTGCTAGAGGAGTAACATTTCAGTCTGAGTGAATTTTGTTTTATACATGCATAGCTCAAATACTACTGGAAATGAAGAAAAAACCAGGAAAGGGAGACTGTGTGTTTTTTCAATACAAAATCCAGTGCTTTGTGATCCACAGTTGGTTTACTCTAAGGATGTAGTGACTTGAATACAGAAAGCTGATTATAGGACTTGAGTATCTGGATTTTGGTATCCATGGCAGATACTGAAGGACAACTGTAGTTTAAATCTGATTCTTTTTCTAAAGGTCTGGAATTGACTTTCTTCTCTGGTGTATATGGAACCTGTATTGGCGCTATAAATAAATTTGGAACAGAAGAGAAAAGCCTCATTGGACTTTCTGGCATTTTCATTGGCATTGGAGAAATTTTAGGTTGGTTTAAAATTTTTTTTTGCATTAAATCAGTTTGTTACAGATATAATGGAAATTTTAAGTATATTTCACTTCTCTGTCCTTGGATTTCTATTTCTTTGCTTATTTTTATCCACATGAGTATGTCTGGTTTTTCTTTTATTGTCACTGTTCTAAAACTAAGTTATAAAACTTTTGCCAAGTAATTCAAGACAAAGCCATAAGTAAGAAAACATAAAGATTTTTGCTTTATGTTTCCCAAATTTTCCTCTTAAAATACTTAGAGAAGGTGTATTAGAATCCCTGAATTTCTTGTTCTCTGGATCTCTGACACCAGTTGTCTGTCCAGCAGTACAGTTCAATTCTGACACTGACTCCTAGAGTTAGCATCAGACCACACAGGTTCAGGGGTACAATCCTGCAAGGCCAACCTCACTTCAGATGCCAGTCCAAGTCCCAAGTCCCCAGGCCACCTTCACTTCTGTTCAGCTTGGCTCTACATTCAAGGGTTCCTACAACACCCCTGGGAAATGCTATTCTTACTGTTAAAGTTTATTAATAAAGGATGCAGATGAACACCCAGATGAAGAGATACTTGCAAAGCCCAGAAGGACCCTTGGTGTAGGAACTTCTGTCCGCTTGGAGTCTAGGATGTGGTACCCTCCTGACACGTGATGCATTCATCAGGGGAAGGTCTCCCAAACCTGTTGTGTGGGGATTTTTATGCAGATCTCATCCTGGTGCGTTAAATCATGGCAATGGACTCAATCTCTCGCCCCTCTCCCCTCCCCTGAGATGGGGAGTGGGACTGAACATTCCAGCTTTCTAATCAAGACTGGGTCCTTCTGGCAACCAGCCTCCATCTTGACTAGAGCCACCCCCACAGTCCCTCGGGGATCAGCATTAACTCAGGCGTGGCTGGAAGGGGTTAGTTAAGATCACTAGAGACAACTGCTTTCACTGAGGAAGTTCCTAGGGTTTCAGGAGCTCTGTACCAGAAAGCAGGGAGAAGAGGACAGGCTAAGACCACACCTCTGTTTTGATTATACCACCAGTTACTCCTTCTGCAGCAGTGATCCGTGCAATTCTTGCAGTAGTGGATGCTGTGTAACGTGTGAGGAGCTTCCCAAAGACTTTCTGTGCATCCATTGTATGAACAAAACATGGAGATTATTTTCTTGGGGAAGAACACAGGCAATAAAAAATATCCAAAACTTAGAATGTCAAAGTGATAACCACTATGGAGAAAGGGGGGGTTGGTATATTTTTTTTGTTCCCTATAATTAATTTTATAACATTTTCATTGCCTTTCTCCAGGCAACTGCTAATCTACTTTCTCTATAGATTTGTCTATTCCAGACATCTCATGTGAATGGAATTATACAAGATGTATTTTTCTGTTGTTTCTGGCTTCTTTTACTTAATACAGTGTTTTCAGGGTTTTTTCATGGTGTAGCATGTATCACTGCTTCATTTCTTTTTTCTTTTTTACTTCATTCCTCTTTATTACCAAATGATATTTAGTCATATGGATCTACCACATTTTTATTCATCCATTCATCGTGTCATGGACATTTGGGTTGTTTTCACTTTTTGCCCATTATGAATAATGCTGCTGTGAACATTTCTGTATAGTTTTTGTGTGATCTTATGTTTTATGTAAACCTAGGACTGAAATCGCTGGGTTAGGTGATAACTCTGTGTTTGACCAATTTGTCTCATGACAGGTCCTATTTTCCTGTTTCTTTGCATGCCTGGTAATGTGGATACTAGCCATTGTGAACTTTACCTTGTTGGGTGTGGGATGACTTTTACATTCCTGTTCATGTTCTTGAGCTTTGTTCTTGGATGCAGTTCATTTACTTGGAAACAGTGTGACTTTTTGAGTCTTGCTTTTAAAGTGTATTGGATGGAACCAGAGCAGTGCTCAGAGGAGGCTAATTATCTCTCTCCCCCAAGGGAAGACCCTTTCGTGACTACCCAGTGAATAGTAAGATTTCCGGTCTGGCTGGTGGGACCAGGTACTCTTCCCAGCCCAGGGTAGGGCACTAATGCCACTAATCCTCTTGGAAAGTTCTTTCTGATCTCTGCTACTTACATCCTGTGCTGATCAGCTCTCCTTTCTGATGCCCCGTCTTGGAAACTCACACCTTGGTGTGAGCACCTCGGTCTCCCCAAACCCCGAGCTCTTGTCTCCTCAGCTCAGGGAGGCTGTGGGCTTCCTCCTGCCTTTCCTCCCTTCTCCCCGACTTCCCGGTCTGGCCCCCTCCTCCCCCTGTGCTGGCACCCACCGCCTCTCAGTCAGCTGGGGCAGGTGTGGGCCTCACCTCATTGGTTTCCTGTCTCTCTGTGTCATATTTTTGTTTTCTTTTTCTTTTTCTTTTTTTAGACTGGGGGTAAATTCAGTTCCTGTTACTCCATCTTACCTAGAAGTCTGTCCTGATTTTTATGCTTTCCTTTGTTTCAACAGTTATATCTTATTTTGTATATTTATGCTTTCTTATTTTATTAAATTCACTATTGTTCATTTTTTCAAAACTAAATTTTTGATACATTAACTTGGCTTTGGATTTTTTTGTTTGTTCATTGATTTTATAGGTGGAAGCCTCTTTGGCCTGCTGAGCAAGAATAATCGTTTTGGTAGGAATCCAGTTGTGCTATTGGGCATCCTGGTACATTTTATAGCTTTTTATTTAATATTCCTCAACCTGCCTGGGGATGCCCCCATTGCTCCTGTTGAAGGCACTGACAGCAGCACTTACATCAAACCCAGGTACGGTGACTGCCCTTTATCTAGTAATTTAAGGAAGGGCAGGAGGTAAAGGATGGTTTGGAATTTAGAATGCAGCAGTTAGTCCTTTTCTGTGAGTCTGTTATAAGGTCATCTGTCATGTGTTAATGGAGCCAGAATGAGTTTAAATAGAAATCCATAGAGAATCTGAAGTTATTTTTGTGATTGTTGGTTTTAACCTTTCTCCCCACTAAATCTTTTTCTTGATCTCTGAAGGGCCATGTAAGTGTCTGATTTGAGTTTTTTATCTCTGCCTTTTGAGCATTGAAATCTCTAGAAGTTCGGGCTTCAAATGGAGCGAGGAGTGAGGAGCGAGTGATGATCTGTCTGCTGGGTCAGCTGCCCAGTCCTTTCACAGTGTTTATGGGAGTTTTGCAGGTGTCATTTTACTGCACTTGGCTCTCAAATTCATTGTCGATGTAGGCATTTATGTCTGGATCCACAAGCCAAGGGCAGCCCTATTCCGGACAGTGTTTGCTTCCCTGATAGTTAATAGACTAGAGTTTGCTAGACTGTGAACGTGACAGCATTTGAGCATAAGTTCTTACTTTGTAAATTCCAGTGTTTATTCATTCTTGTTTCATAAACTTGTTTAAATTGGAGAGTACAATGTTTTTGTGGGTGAGTTGCTGTTATGTTTTAAACAACTCTAACAAATATTATTATTAATGCTCACTCTCAATTTTATTTTAATCAGCAAAGAAATTGCCATCTTCTGCAGCTTCCTGTTGGGTCTTGGAGACAGCTGCTTCAATACCCAGCTGCTTAGCATTTTAGGTTTTCTCTATTCTGAAGACAGCGCCCCAGCTTTTGCCGTCTTTAAATTTGTGCAGGTAAATTCTTCTCTAGACTGTGTTAAAAGGTGGGTCTTTTTTAAGTGTTACAACTTCATTTTCTTAATGTTTCTTAAATGAAAGTCCAGGAGATCCTTTAAAAGGATTTGTGATCAGAATGAGGAGGCAATAAGTAGTGTGGTCTTTTTTTCTCCCATCACTCGTATGAGAGATTTTATATTCCAGCCTCTATGGCTCAGACTTCTTTCCGTAGATACCAGAATTCAAGGTGTTTGCAGATAACAAGTGTGTTTCTCACTGTGCATGCACGTGATTTTATCACTCCAGTTTTTTTTTTTTTTTAACAAAATACTGTTTTAAATAACAGACTATGGCTTACTTGATTATTCCCAGCTCTCAGCGGGACTTGGTGGTGCGTGTCTGTGAGCTACCAACTAAGGAGGTGCCCTCTAGACGCAGAAGGAGCAGGGAACAGTGACAGGAAGCCTTGGGTCAGAGCGGTGGGGTTCGTTGTGGAGTTGGCTGGGTCACCTGTGCACGTTTCATGATCTGTCTTGTCTTCTTTATTCTTAGTCCATTTGCGCAGCTGTGGCATTTTTCTACAGTAACTACCTTCTCCTTCATTGGCAACTCCTGGTCATGGTGATATTTGGGTTTTTTGGAACTGTCTCCTTCTTCACTGTGGAGTGGGACGCCGCTGCCATTGTAGCCCGGGGCTCTGACTACCGAAGTATCTGAGGAGGGCGCCAGCGAGAGGAGGCCGCCTCTTCGGATCCTCGGCTGAGCGGTGGGCCGGGCAGGGGAGGCCGCTCTCATCTTCGCCGTACCTTGGAGGCTGTTTAGGATGGAGACTCCGAGATCCAAGACTGCTAAATCTGCCAGAGTTGGTATTCAAGTTTACAGATATTGTTTAAAAACGAGTGAAGTAAGGGAAATTTGTTCTGTCAGTCATGCTGTTCGAAGATGTTGTGTTTCAGTTCATCTGTTTCATGTTCCTTATGATCATGTATAAATGTAAATGTTTTCTTCTGCCCCCTGTTCTGGTTGCAAGATCATGCTTTGATTGAAACTACCAGGCCGTATGTTTATGAAGACTCCTACAGAGTGTGGCTGTGTGTTACTCTGTAGTAACGGAGCATGTGCCACCCCATGTGTGTCTGGGGATGACGTTTAAGTAACTCATGTAATGCTGATATGGAATCTTTGAAAAGATTTGCACATTTTTGATTATTTTTCTTATAGTTCATAGCAAGAGGGGTGCTAATCAAGTATTATGAAATGAGGTAAAAATTGTCTTAAGTTTTAAAAATAGGAATCTGACATTTGTAAATGAGCAAAAACACAGTTAAGAAAAAAATACACATTTACTGGTGGAGGCTTTTGCTAGTAATTTTTCTAGAGGATGCAGTGCATAAAAAACAAGCCCAGAACATGTAGTGAATGAAGTCTAAGCAAGGTGGCAGGCTGTTGTCCCTAAGAAACACCATTCCATATGCATGTCTGGGAATGGAATCTAGCTATTTGGGGAGATGTTTAGAATGGAAATGTTAACTTTAATCCATAAGAGCTTTAAACAATTATTTTGAGATATAATTCAGAAATCATAAAATTCATCATTGTAAAGTATACAGCTTAGTGGCATTTCAGTACATTCACAAGGTTGTATAACTATCACTACTATCCTTTCCAAAACATTTTCATCACCCCAAAAAGAACCCCCTTGAACCTACTAGTAGTCATTCCCCATTCTCTTGCCTGGCACCGGTGGTCAGTAATCCATTTCCTGTCTCTGGATTTGCTGCTTCTGGACATTTCCTATAAATGGGAAAGCTCACTTTTAAACTTCAAAATTAACTGTACAAATCAAGAGTTTTATGGCAAAGTAGATTTAATCAAGAAGACAAACAATATTTTGTTTTCCATTATTTTTAAAAACCTGCTTAGCAATTTTATGGAGTGTAACTTTCAGATTTGATGGCAATTTCAGGGAATTGTGGTTACCTGGAACCCTTAGAGAAATTGCATTTGTATGGAACACTAAACTCTTTTGCTTCAAGTTGTAAAATTTTGATTTTCTTTCTTGAAGTTGAGATAAACTCAGTTGACAGTTGATTTTATATAAGTTGTAAATGCTGTTTCAGAATTAATACAAATGAATTTATTATCTCTTTAAGCACATTATTGTTTACTCAGATGTATTTGTTTTCTATCACCATATGATAGATTACCCCCAAACTTAGCCATTTCCCTGGTGGTTCAGATAGTAAAGAGTCTGCCTGCAATGCAGGAGACCCTCGTTTGATCCCTGCGTCGGGTAGGTCCCCTGTAGAAGAGAAGAGAACTGCTACCCACTCCAGCACTCTTACTTGGGAGAATTCCATGGACAGAGGAGCCTGGTAGGCTGTATTCCATGGGGTCACAAAGTCAGACATGACTGAGCAACTAACAGTTTTTTTCACTTAAGCACATTATTGTTTACCCAGGTCTATTTGTTTTCTATCTCCGTAGGACATATTACCCCAAAACTCAACCACTTAAAACAAGACCTATGTATTCTCTCATAGTTTCTGTGGGTCTAGAATCTCGGCATGGCTGAACCAGGTCCTCCAGCCAGCTCAGGGTCTGTCACAAGGCTGCAGTCAAGGTGTGACCCGGGGGAGGACCTGCTTCTCAGCTTAGTCTCATCCTTGGCAGGAGTTGGTTCCCCACAGGCTGTTGGACTAACAGTCTTAGTTTCTCACAGCTGTCCTCATCAAAGAAAGCAAGTGAGAAAAGCCAGAGGGAAGTGCCAGCAAGTCATAAGTCATTGTCTTTTATAATTTTAATCTTGAAAGTGACATCTCATCACTTTTGCTATATTCTCTTTACTAGATGCAAGTTACTAGTTCCCGGCCACACCCAAGGAAGGGGGGTGGGGGTTACACCAGGGAGTGACTAGAACCAAGATCCCCAGGACCGTCTCACAAGGCTGCCTGTCTCACGTTCAGCTGGAAGCTGGGCCCTGCATTCCTGTGTTCCTCGCTCCCAGGCTCAAGCTCCCTTTGCTTATGATAGGTCTGTAGAATTAGGCCGCAGAGGTTCAATGGCCTCTGTTACTACTACTGAGTACATTCACCCAGGGCAGCCACAGCCTCTCATCCGTGCTGGTAGGATTCCTGGTAACAGCTTTCACAAGGGAAAAGAAAGGGAGTGAGCGGAGTCTGTCAGGAACACGACTTCTGTGCTGCCTCCCTCCTGATGTTATGTGTGATGTCCTTCACCTTAAGTTCTGTACTCAAATTTTGTGTTTGGGTGAGTTTCGTTTTGTTTTTTACTGTCTTTATGTCTATAAGTAGTGTTGGCCTTGGTGGGCTTTTTATTTGACTGATAACAGCTCATGTTTGAATTTGTATCATTTGAATTTGAAATGTGGTATGAAATAAAGAATTTAATTTTTATGCTTGTCTTATGTACTCTGTCAAATAATTTATGCTTCTGGGTAAGTAAGTCTTCACTTTGTCTCACATGGGGGTGTGTGTGTATAAGTATGAGTGTGCTGTTCTTTTTCGGCAAATTTCTATATATTGAAATTTGGCTTAGTCCTGGAGCAACGTTTATTGAGTCACAACTGTATTACTCTGTGTGAAGGAGTCCCCCCACCCACCTCTTCTCTCCTATACCCGAAGACTGGAATACCTTAAAACCTCGGTTTTGGCTGTTTACACTGAGGTTTGCTTTCCTCTGGGAGTTCTTTAAGTTCTCAAAGTACAAAAAAAGTTGCCAATTAAACAAAAAAAAATAAAGTGAGGACATAAGAGAAACTGGAATCCTTGGTAGGAATGTAAAATGGTGCAGCCTTTATGGAAAACAGTAAAGTAGTTCCTAAAAAATGTAAAACTAGAATCACTGTCTGATCCACCAATTTCATGTTTGGGTATGTACCCCAAAGAATTGAAAACAGACTTGAAGAGGTATTTGTACAGTTATGTTTGTAGCAGCATTGTTCACAATGGCCAAAAGGTGGAAACAGCGCATGTCCATCAGTAGATGAATGGATAAGCAGAGTGTGACCTATACATAAACAGTATGCTGCCTGCTGCTGTTACGGGGCTTCCTGGGTGACTCAGCAGTAAAAGACTGACAGAAGGAGAAGGGGGCGGCAGAGGATGAGATGGTTAGATAGCATCACCAACTCAATGCACATGAATTTGAGCAAACTCTGGGAGACATGATCCCCTGGAGGAGGGTTTGGCAACCAGCACCAGGATTCTTGCCTGGGAAATCCCATGGACAGAGGAGCCTGGTGGGCTACAGTCCATAGGCTTGCAAAGAGCTGTACTTGACTGAAGCGACAGCACGCAGGCCCTGGGAGATGGTGGAGGGGAGCCAGGCGGGCCGCGGTCCATGGGGCTGCAAAGACTCGCACATGACTTGGTGGCTGAACCGCTGCAACAGGAGCGGAGCTGGTGCACCGTTAGCACAAGGCCCTAACGGGGTCAGGGGTCCTGGGCCTTCCAGGCCCTCTGGCCTCAGGGTGGGCAAGTGAGCTGGGGGCCCAGGCAAGGCTGCGGGCTGGGACTCAGGAGCTTCAGGGCCCTCCCCACGGCCGCCTGCAGGCCAGGCCCAGGCAGCAGTGACCTCTTCCCCTCTCGCCGTCTTCTGATGGCAGCGGCTGTCTCCATGGGTCACAGTCCAAGGAGGCCTCAGCAACTGGAATATATGGACACAGCCGTTAAGGTAACAACTTCACAGAATTCCCTGCGGGGCCAGTGGTTAGGACTCAGTGCATTCACTGTTGTGGCCCAGGTTCAATCTGTGTTAGGGAACTGAGTTGCCGCAAGCCTCAAGGTGTGGCAAAAAAAAAAAAAAAAAAACTAAAATTGTGTGGCCCTGCATGATATGTCTCAGGCAACTCCAGGACTACTCGTAAATTGGGAGATTTGCTAGCAGGAATCAGGGGTACTCTCAGGGTTTATTACAGTGACCTGGTAAGGATACATAGCCAGATCATCAGGGACAGACCCTGGGGGGAGTCTAGAAGAATCCAGGTGTAGGCTTTCTTATGCTCTCTCTCTCCCTTCCCTGAAGGTCACCCAGAGCTTCCTCTTGCTCCATCATCGAAGATGTAGCAACACGTGCAATGTTTCTGTCCAGAAAACCCTGCTAGAGATGCACCCAGGGGTTTTACAGGGGCTGGTTGCAGGCAGCCTCTGCCTGGCATTTGCCAGGATTCTAGACTTGCAGAGAGAAAGCAGGTGTTTGTTTAGCATAAACCACATTGTTTGGGACTTCCCAGGTGGCCCAGTAGTAAAGACTCTGTCTGTGATGCAGGAGACTTAGGTTGGATCTCTGGGTCAGGAAGATTGCCTGGAGGAAGAAATGGCAACCCACACTAGTATTCTTGCCTGGGGAATTCCATGGACAGAAGAACCTGGTGGTGGTCCATGGGGTTGCAAAGAGTCGGACACAACTGAATGACTAACACTTTTCACATGTATAATTGAATCACTTTGCTGTACAACAGAAACTTACACAACATTGTAAATCAGCTCTATTAAAACAATTTTTTTGATTAAAATAGTTAATTAGGAACTTCCTTGGCAGTCCAGTGGTTAAGAATCCATGCTCCCACTGCAGACAGCACAGGTTCCATCCCTGGTTGGGGAACTAAGACCCCTCAGGCTGCAAGGTACAGCCAAAAAAAAAAAAAGTTAATGTCTAATTACATAATTAGCCAAGATGTCTCATTAACATAAATA